CATTCAAGAATTTAATAACTAGCATTAAGGAATTGCAGAATTTCTTCATGTTATTTGCAAGCACTTGTTTATATTCCTCAGTGTTTCTTTATGATGTACGAATGGAACGTATGGTAAATCTGATTGTTTTTATTGCTTAAAAGTATAATGAATAAATTTCAACTAATATATCCTAAATTTCAGTCTTTTTCTGAACGAAAATTGTACAGTTCCAAGGAATGTACAGAATTTCATAGGTATTATATTTTACATTTTGAATGCAACACACTGCTTCACATTACTTCGCAATAATTTCAGCTTTTTAGTTGTTTGAGCAGTACAGCAAAAATAGTATTTAACACATAATTTACATTATACTCTACGAAGATTTAAACGCCAGATTTGTTTACAATCAGATGGCGGTACATCTACCATATACCGTATTTATCTACTTTTCAAATTGCGCCAACATAGTAATTACGCCAAATTGTTTTCTGGGCATGCGCAGTATGCGACATTCGTTTAACACTGTTCAACTCAATGTGCGGTCTGCCATTACGCGACCCGTAACGTGATTGGGTTCACGAGGCGGGGCAGCCAATATTGTTGTTGTTGTATCATTCAACGAGAGCGCTTGACAGCAAACGTATTTAGGCTTAAAATGATAAAATAATTACAGATATAGCGAACTGTTCCCGTTTACGAGAACTGACACAGAGAAAATGTGGAAACTTGTTGGAGAAAATAGCAGTGATGACGACGACGATCTTTTGTATATTTCATTGTGATGGTTAAGCAGAACAAAACTTCTAAATTTTTTTTTTTTTTTTTTTTTTTTTTTTGTTATACCAGAAAATTATTTTATTTTTAGAAGAAAACAGTGTAGTTTGAGGAGTTAAAACATCATAGTTTTTAGTACAGTAACATTCAGAAATTACGAGTGGGGTGCATTTTAACGTTTTCCTGCGACATAAAAAATAATTTTAGCAATCGCTATTGTGGTAAACAGGGTGAAAATAAAAATTATTTTACAGTGGACAAACAAAGTGATTTTTGCTTTCGAAGAAGCGGGATGGAAGAAAAACTAAGCATTTACTATAAGGAAATGCAAAAGCAAACACAGCTCAATTTTTCAACCATAACAAAAAGTGGTACTATTCGGTTTCGAGGGCCGTAAAATGTCGCCAAACTATTGTTGATGCCAATGCTGCCAAAAATAATTGTGGCAACCCTAATAATTGCGGCAAGAAAGGAGGCATAATAGTAAATAACTATCTAAAGATTGATGTTTTAATTTAGATGAAAGGTTAATTTCATATAATACTTTTTATTATTATAATTTATATGAAAAAGGCTAAACATTACTGAATGGAAGCATAAGAGTAAATAACTATTTCAAATCATTATTATGATTATATAAAAATGTTTAAACATAACTGCTGCATCGCTATTTCGCTACCGACTTATCGCTAAAGCATAATTTCATCTCGTTGGTTGTTCAGACGTAATTTCTATAATGAATGATGCTTTTTCTTTGAAAATATTCTCGGTAAAGTGCAGAATCGCTCACTTATTTGTTTTGCCGCTTTTTACAAGGGTAAAAACAATTGGATTTTGTCAATTTTCTTTTACTTTTTAAGTGAAAATAGATCGATGTGTACATAGATAAAGCCAAGGGTGTGAGCAGTGCCATTTTTGTGGAATTCTGGGATTTTTTTAAAGTGAAAATAGGTCGATGTGCACATTGATACCGAGTATGTGCAATTCTTAAAAACGCGTCAAACAGTGGGTGATTCTGCACTTTACCCAAACATTATGGGCAATTATTTCGTCATGGGCAATTCCCAAATTGTTAAATCCATAGGATATTAAAAAAGGATTTAAAATCAAAAAAAGGATTAAAAAATTAAACTAGTATTTCAGTGGCGTCGTAAGAAATATAGAACTATATAAACTTACGTAATCTGAAATCAGCGCGTACGCTAGATTTGGAGCGCTGTTAAATGGGCGCGTTTGCTAGATTTGGCGCTTTTGCGCATACATTTTCGCTGCAATTTTTTACGGTCCTCGAAACGGAATAGTACCCAAAAAGTTAATTAGGAAATATTTTAGTAATTCTAGTTATTTTTTTTTTTTTGCTTTGTGATGCTATTGTTTTGTTTCATAAACACTTTAATAAGAGTCAAGCATATTTTCGCATATTGCATTTTGATGTTTAAGTAGTTTGACGTTTTAGAGAAGAGTGAAAAGAAACCAGTTAAGCTCTATCTGATATTACGATTTCATCATAGTAAACAAAATAATTTAAAATCACAAGATGGAAATATATAAGGTCCAAGTAAAGCCTCTGGAATGTAAAGGATTGGATTGTATGCTAAATGTAAGATAAAATGGCTAATCTTTGGAATATGGTAGTTTGGCGACATTTTGGTAAGGCGATAAAGGTTACTAGCTAGAACTTTAGCAGTGTACATGGATATAGTCAAGAGTGTGCGCAATGCCATTTTTGTGCGATTCTGGGATGTTTTTTTAAGTGAAAATACGTCGACGTGTACATGGATGCCACCGTGTATGTGCAATTCGTAAAAACGCGACAAGCAGTGGGCGATTCTGCACTTTGTCCCAATTTCACACCTAATCTTCGTCATGATTAAGCACTTTTGTTCCATAAAAGTTCTAGCATAAGAGTAATTTGGCTTAGCAGATTGTTGGAAAAAAATGTTGGAAATGTTGAGAAAAAAAAAAAAAAAAAAAAAAAAAAAAAGAAAAAAAAAAAAAAAAAAAAAAAAACATGCCTTTACTTTGTGAAAACAAAATGGCGTCCAAACAAAAACTAGGTCGCCAAATTTTCGCCAAAAAATCGCCTAGTTACCATAATCCAAATCCAAAGATTAACCGATAAAATTTTTGTTTTAAACTATCGTCCTGGCGCTTTAGAAATTGTTGAAGGAAATTTTGTTTGTTTTGTTCCGATAGATGCTTAGTTGGTCATCAACATGTAATGAAGCAATATAAGAAAGTAAAATTCAGAAGAAAATATAGAAAAAAGATATTTGTAAATAGTGCAAGCGAAAAGGACTTTGAGTAAAAGATTTTAAACTGGGGATTACTGATTGAGGACTAATCTAAAACAAGTCAAAGAGAACCATTCAAGAAAACTCTACCAGAGCAACAGATGATGTTCATTCACGAAGACGCCTGTATAGCTGAGAGTCATTCATTATTTTGGATTGACAGTGCACATAAGAAAGACAAAATTTGTGTCAAGACAATTATTGGTATAAAACAAAGGCCAACCTAAAATATGTTTCATATATAGAGATAAATGAAAATTTATTTTCTCCACTTGCAGCCTAAGACAGAATGTATGAAATTTTCCGTGTTTCTGGTACTTGAATAAAGTAGCTATAAAACCACGTATATCTAAAACTAATGGATGTACAAGTTCAAAAAGTAGTTAAAACTGTTGTTGTAGTTATGTATCATCAGAGATGGAGATATCAAGATAAACTTCATGTTCACAACATGCTTGAGAGAACATGGCATTTGGCAGTTCTCTCAAGTTGTGAACTAGGTGTTTATGGTAAAGTTCCCAGTTTTTCTTTTGAATAAGAAAACATAAGCCTAGAAAGCTGATGAATTAATTTCAGCCGACATTCGCAGACATTTTGATGAATATTTTCAGAAGAAAAGATAATTACTTGCGTTTAAACGCAAAGTTTTAAAACGTCTGTTTATAAAGGAAACGTCAAATAAATTAAAATATTTGCAAATAATGTAAAACATATGCTTGAAAATACTAGAATTTTGGGCATTTAGTTAATAAATTTCTCAGTGAAAAAGAGAAGCGCTTTTAATAAAGAAAATATGAACTTAATTCTACATTTTGAAAGATGCAGACTATTACCGCTTCACTCTCCCAAGCAAATGGCTCAAGTAAAGGAGATAAGAGTGCAATACCCCCAATGCTTCGAATCCTGAAGTACTCGAATTCCTAGTGCCTTACCAAATTGTCTCTTTCTAAATTGAATTTTAGCTCGCCATGTAATTCTCGTCCTAATTTACATTCTGATGAAGATGTTGAAAGACATAAAAATTGCTTGAAAGAATTAACATGAAAATAATAAAGTTATTCAAATAAACATTACACTGTACCCACTTAAATATTTTAGTTTTGTGAAAATTGCAACTTAATTTTCATTTTCTAATAAGTTATCAAATATTCTACATGAATTCCAATGCTTCTGCTTGACGAAGTAAACTTAAATAATAAGCATCTCTACGTTTACTTAAACAAAAAACATCTCTACTTTTACGCTTTCATTTTCACTGCTCTTAATGCTGATTGATCATTAAATTTGGAAATAGAACATTCGGATCCTTGAATCCCAAGAATCTTGAGAAAAACTCGAAAAACCTGGAATTCGAAACCTAGAATCTTTGTTTTATTTTTACCATTCTTACTTCCCTAATTTTAACTTAAAAACCATTAAATATTGTAATAAGAAACTTCGAAAAATTATTTATATTGACATTTGATCCAAGGTTTTGCTAAAACGGGAACATGACTGTTGCAATTCCGATGGATATGGATCCCTTTTTTGTGGCCAGAAATGCTACACTCTTAATTGTGGTATTAGCATTTAATGTTTACTTTCTATCTATGTTAACGGTTGAAATAATCTGCTCCCTTTACCCTTGCTTTGATTTTTAAAAAAATTGGGAAAATATAGAGGATCTGAATTATTATTTAAATACTCTTTTGTCAAATTAAAAATGAACTTCAAGTTTCAAGGTTTTTAAAAAGGCACGGCATTTATAAAATTTCATTCATACCTTTTTAAGAAATATTACAAAAGTTTAAAAGTTTGTGTTTTTAAGTCTGTTTTCTATTATTAGAAATTCAAAATCCATTTGAGGTTTGGACTCCTATTTGATGCAGTTTATGATTCGTATCATTTCCATTTAAATTTAATTAATTTAAGATTAGGAATTTACTCTATTTATTCTTTTTTCTGCAGAGTTCCCATATGGAGATGTTGTATGTTCTTTGATTGGTAAATACTTTGCTGCAGCTACTTTTATGGCAACATATCAACAGAGTTCAGAACTTTATCCTACTGTGGTTCGATCCTTGGGCATGGGCTTGAGCAGTACTGTTGCTTTCGGTGCCACTTTGATCGTGCCTTATCTCGTTTATCTTGTAAGTATTTGTATCAGATACTGAGAATGTATGCTTAAATATTATATGACACCAAATGTGAATATATTTCGTACAAAGTTGATCCAGAAACTGTGTACCGTTTGCACATATCTCCCGCGTATTAGGCAGCATGAAGGTATCCCATGCATAGGCATATCGTTCATCTCAAGGAATCAATCGTTCAATCGGTCTCAAGAAATCAGACAATTTCAATCGTTCATCTCAAGTTTAGTCAATTTGTTTGTTTACATTTTTTATCAGTAATCATGTTTATAACAATTTATCCGCCCGCCAGTTGTAAATTAAGAGCCATTTCAAAGTGTTTTAATGCTAGAAATGTTTGAGCCAACTTCAGAGAAATTAACAATTGCTTTTCGTACCGTAGAAGTTATGCTTAAATTCGCAGAAACAGATTAAATTTCGTAAAGAAAAGATTATGTCTAACTTCCACACCTCATCAACAGATGGCGACTCAATAGATGCAATCTCGTATTAACAACTGGACTCGCCGCCAATAGATGGCGGCTCATTTGGCACACCTGAAGTCTTTTAATTCAGCTAAGCTCCGGTGGATTTTCTCCGCTTGTGGATCCACGACTACCCAGTAGGGTGAATAATTGCCGAGTAAAGGCTGTTAAGCCGAAGACTCGTAGATACCGTAATTCAATTCAATTCAGTAGAAATATTCGACATTGTGAAATTTATCGTCAGGTGAAGAGTAAAGGTACGGGCGAAAGTGGGTTAGGATACTGAACGAAGAAAAGGGAAAATGTCCACGAGAGGAGCGCGGTGAACGACCGTTGTTGATAACTGAAGAACTGGTTGCGCGGCTTCGACGAAAACAATCGCCCGAATAGACAATTCCCCACTTCTGATTTGCCAACATATATTCAAAACATTTCACAATCTTTATGTCATATAACTGTGACTGAACATACTTTACAAAAATCTGTCTTCGAGATGGGTAAGACTAGCGGACGTTCAAAAACGAAAATGCATGAGAGTAGCCAGAATTTTTGCAGAGTTATGCGACAGAAGGAAACGATTCTTTTAAAAGGATTGCCACAGGCGATAAGACATGGATTCGTTACGAGACTTCTGAAACGAAACGATAGTCAATTAAATAGCGACATAATGCTTCTCCAAAACCCAAGAAAGCAAAGCCCCCTCTTTCTTAGAGAAAAATCATGTACACTGTGTTTTGGGACTGCCAAGGAATTTTGTTAGTGGACTTGACGGAACGAGACAACGCTGCAGTGAAACGATGAAGTCGTCACGCGATACAGAACAAAAGGCATGAACTATTAACTTCTGCTGTTGTGTTCATGCATGATAACGCGCGGCCGCGTAACGACGACGCTGCTTTTTTAATTTAGCTGGGAACAATTCTTTCCGGATTACTGCCAACATATGACACATGCGACAGATTATGACATAATTCTCATGATGGCTAAGTTGAATAGTAATTTAAGATGTGTAGATTTTTCGGTACTAAAATATAAATGAAAACAAATTTCTAATCTTTTTTAATACCGAAACGGTACTTACTCTCTAAATTAGCTTTGTATAAATATATCAGCCAAGCATTTTAATACATCGGTTTTTGAAAGAAATTCTAATAAGTATTCCTGTGGGTTACCCAGAAAATACTTCTACAGCAGCTCTGTTCAGTTTAATTTACACCAAAAATTAACATATACTTAGATTAATGATGTAATATCTAAAGAAGTGAATAGTTTTCGTAATATGAATTGCTGTAAGAAAGCTTTTTTGGGTTTCTGGGATGTGAATTCAAACGGCCTGATCTGCAGGTAACAAGCAGTTTTGATCTTATAACCCTTCATTGACAGTATCTAGGATACTAAATTTGATCAAAAGGCTGTGCAGTTGTTTTTATGAATTGCTATTTATAGTATCACTTTTCATAACATGCCTTAAATTACTATATCTAATCATTCCATTTATTAGCTTAAATTTCTTGGGAGTTTTCATTGTCTATAAATGAGCTTCTAACTTGCAACGTTACAGCAAACAAGTTCACCATGACCAGGACCCTCGACCTGGAGAAAGATGCATCCTTTAGCGAGGTTATATATCCGAGTCACATAGGACCCCTCTGGCGGCTCAGGCCCCACAGTCCCTGCCCAGCTTTATGCGTAGCCTCAGCAGGAAAGAAGAATGTCGCTTGTGCGGAAGAAAATGATCACTGATGCCTTTGCCTCGGGGCACCACTCCCTCGGCTCCGGTATTTCAAAGGGGTGCCCTACCTTACTATGCCAGTCCCCGTCACTGGGACTCTGAGGGCTGGTCCCCCATAGAGAAGGCCCCAAAAATCTAACCATATTGCTCCATCACAGCCGAAGGAACAGACGCGACAGTACCAGTACGGTCCCTGCCAAGCCTGAACCTACCTGAGTACAATACTCGGGTTCTAGTCCTGTGAATACTGTTTGTATACCCCCGTGGTTGAGACTGCCTAGGTACAGATCCTAACCAGTACTTCCCAGGAATTCTCCTGAGTCAAACAGTTGGCAGTCCAGAGGGTTACCTTTGGTAAAAAAACAAATAAATAAGAATGTTCTAAGCAATAGACTTTATGCATTTTTATATTTCGCCATTCAAGAAGGAGCAGCATTCGCATGACTGACAGTAAAAGGTGTAAATCATCTTTCGAGCTTTAAGAATTACAGATGAACTTTCAAAATAATCAAGCTTTCACTGGAAATAAACATGAATAATTAAATTTTTCAGAGTGTGTATGGAAAGGCGATCCCGTTCCTGGTAATTGGAATGTCCTGCATCATTGCTGGAATCATGGCATCATTCTTACCAGAGACACTCAATGAGAATTTACCCCAGACGATACTTGATGCAGAAGAGTTTGGCAAGAAACAGAAATTCTTATCTTGGAATAGGTACGTTTTGAACATATCTGCGAAGACACAATATTTTTTATTACATATTTGTAATATCTTAATTTCCAGCCACCAAACACGCTTTTTAAACTTCATGATCTTTTAGAATACTTGTGAGTTTGAAACCAGAAGAGACAGAATATAATCATAGTTAAGGAATAGTTAATAACTACAAAACGTATATATTTTTAAGGATAATTATTTCTTTAGAGTAAAAGTAATATTTATTGATTATGTTAATGATAATGGCGATAATTATCAAAAATGATACTTATTACTGAAATGGTTAATAATTACGAGATATCAATAATGGTATTTAACACTAATAATGATGAATAATTACTCGAAAATGCTAATTATTGATAATGATTAATTATTGACAAATGTTAATTGTTGTTAATTATTTTGTTAGAGTAAAAGGATTGTTGATGAATACGAGGAGTTTATTATGTATTCAGTTTTGATATTTTCTACGATTGTTAAAGATGTCTAAAAATTCATAAGAATTAAATATGTCATAGAAATATATGGGATAGATAAGAATATGTGCAAAATTGTTGTCAGAACACTAATCGTAAAGGAAATAGAAGCTATCAAAGCTAATGATGACACATGCGGACAAGTTACAGTGCTGTTAAGAATAATTTATTACCTGATATTCTAACTAAATTCATGTAAAGTAAATTTAATGCTTTATTTAATAAGAAAAGAATTAAAATCGGTACTGAATATTCTATTCCCATTTCTAAAGATGCTCTACAACTTAACAATTTTTGAAAGTATGTTTAGCTAACCGTATTTTACTGAGGAGTTATTTCGTAACTAGGGAGGATATTTCATTGATTGCGTTGAACTTAAAAAAGCACAAATTTGCAATTCATGAAATCACTTACTCACTTCTGGTAGGTTAAATTAAAGCGAGAATTTGCAAACTGAATTGTAAATCACTAATCGATAATACCTTGCATTATTCTAGGCCAGGAGTAGTTAACATTTTATACCTACTGCCCAGTTATGTACTTCTGTTAGCGGTAAAACTTTCTAACCGCCACCGACTCCACAGTAATGGTGATTTGCAAAGCAGGGAAGCAACTTTACACTTTGTAGAGCAGAGTTACAGTAACTTAAAACATATAATAATAATTACTTACCAAGAATTTTATGTTGGATTTTCGCTATGTTTCACAGAATAAATCTTTATAAAAAACTTAGTATAGTTAAATCTAGCCTTTTATTTATGCTTTGCATACACAGGGATTACATTAATTTATATAATTATTAATGGGATATCTGAGGCTGATGCTAGAAACTAAATATTGAATATCCGGCTCAATTTTTGGGAGGAACAAACGAAAGTCTTCCCTTTCGGAAATATTCAGGCGGTATCTTTCTTTGGTCATAATGTGATTAACAGCATTGAATCCTGATTCCACAAGATATGAGGTAGGGGAAGGTATCTATAAAATTATAAGGTATTTCTTCCTTCTTAACATGCCTTCGTAGTGCAGTGGTCAGCACGTTGGGTGCGTATTCCCGAAGTCCGTAGTTCGATTCCCGGCGAAGGTGTTGCTCATTTTTGCATTTTTCTGCTTCCAAAATACCTAATGTCTCTACAAACTGAATACCGTTTTCAACATACTTAGATATAAGAGCAGCACATTTTTATTTTGCCATAGGTTTTTCATATCCACCACTGTCGAATTTATGTTTACTTTTATCGAATTTATGTTATTATTTATGTTTATAATAATATATAGCATCAGTATCTCGACTGGTTGACGCTAAACTCTCAAAGAGAAAACTTTATTTTTATTTTGATGATGTTGTTGTAAAATAAAGCCACCGTTTTTATGCATTTATTGTTCTTTATGTAATATTTTTGTTTAAAATGTTTATGAAATCTTATGTAAACTATTTAAATGCATTAAAGTTATAATTCGCTTATGTAATTTCTTTGTGAATAGAATTTTAAGAACATTCACGATAGATGATTTCCTCGTAATCCACTTTGTCTAAAACTTTAGCATTCCTAGTTATTTTCCTAGAATTTTTTTATTTCAGCAAATCTGCTAACAGCAAAAATCTCAAATTTTAAGTCAAAACATAAATTGTTGTTAATAGACCAATAGTATTTTATGTAATAAATGCCTTTCTACAAAGCTCATTCATTTAAACCTAAATTAAAATAATCTGTACTGTTCTGTTTTAGGCGTAGGATGTCAATTAGTCGAGAGCGGGCTACATCTTCAATAAGAGCCCAAACACTGGAGGATGTGCATAAGAGGGAGGAAAACAATGTAAATCTTCATCAGGCGGTAAGAGTCCTCCAGAATAGGGATTTATTTATTATCAGCGACAGCTATGTTGCAATGACAGACGCAGAAAATACTCTGGGTGATGGATCAGACAGCTTGAGGAACTGAAGAAATTCTCAATATGTAACCAAAGCTCATTCTGCTTGGTTATACAATCATCTGTCATCAATTCTAACTCAGCCGAAGGCCATACTCAAATTTCTGAGAATAGCAAAAAGATCAGAAAGATATTAATATGAGAGAAGAACACAAAGATAGCATACCTATTGAGAAAAAAGATAGCAAAGAATGAAGCAAACTCACTCTAGATGCATTAACAGTTATTACATGTTCGTTTATTTAAATACTCTTGTATATAAGATACCCGTCACAAAAAAAAAAAAAAAAAAAAAAAAAAAAAAAAAAAAAAAAAAAAAACGCTATGAATGGCAGAAGAACATTTCAGTTACTGGCACACATGAAAAGAAAGCAATTCAGAAGTACCGAAAATAATAACATAACTTGGTATACTACCAAGAGAGCTGAGTCAGAGGAAGATGCACAGCAACAGGACATGAGCACAGAAGGACGTGAGCATTGTGCAAAATATTGAGTTTATTTACAAAATAAAAAATAACGAAACGATATGTGAAAAACATCTTTTTGTATTAAACGTTAATGTACTGTCTAGGCGTATTAGCATTTAAACTATTCTTACTTTTATAAACATTTTACCATCATGCAACTCAAAACACTTTATTTTATGCAAACTATTTTCAAAATCTGAGAGAGATAAGAGATGAAGTTGCTTGACCAGACATTCATATTCAGTTTATTTTGGAATTTGATAAGAATTTTGAATCATAAAATCCCCTATCTTTCATTAGTTTGGATTTCATAAAACAAACATATACTCTACTGAGCATTTTTTAGCTGATGTTCTATTTGATTACATGTATTATAGCTCTGATATATGTACTTTGAAATATAAATTTTCAATTCTTTCTTTCGTTTTGATGCTAGAAACCAATACTTCCTGAGTTTTAATTATTTTAGTTCTTAAAACAAGTATGCAAGCATCGCAGCTTCCGCTGAAAGCAGTAAATGGCGAGTCAAATATTTTTAATTGCGTTTTATATTACGTTGATTTGTACATTAAAAAAGTATCCATAATTAAAATTAAAATTAATTATGTACCTTTTAATGTGGGTAGGAATGTAAAAGTTATAAGTTAATATTATGATTTTCATTTGCGAAAATATTCTCACTCAGTATATTATTTTAAAATGAAAAAAGTAAAATATTATTTGGAATTAAACAAAAACAGTGTTTAAGTTTAAGAAGAAATTACAAATTTACAAAAGGAAACGAAAAGGTATACATTAAGTAAAAAAATACGAAAAAATTAAAAGAAAGTAAGCTATTAATAAATCATTATTTAAAATATCCAATGAGATACATAAATAAATAAAAATAATGATAAAAAAGAAGGAATATTTTGCTTGCAATAAAACGTTAGTCGCATTTCATTTATTATGATTTATCCCATCATAGTTGCTTTGATATGAATTACAGATGATATAAATAGCATTTTTATTCACAAATAATTACTATTTGCATATGTAATAAATAAGAAGGTCAGCAGTGGCAATTTGAAATCTTACACAGAAACTCTAAAATGAAATATTTTTTCGAAAGTGTAACGTTGAGTCTTATATAAGATTCAATAGCCATGAATGATTTAAAAAGAATTTTTGGTTTTAAAACGATTTATGTTATAAATGAAACATAAAATTTTGTGAATTAATTCTTATTTTTTACATGAGAATGAAATTCAGAAGTAAATGATAAATAAGACACTATTAAATTATGGTCATTTGCACGACATTTTCTTTCACAAAATGTAATTTCACTTTGATTTTATACAAAACAAATGTACTAACTTACGTAATTATTATGAACATTTAAATTTGCTTCATCACAAAATGTTATCCTTCATCAAGGAGTAACATGCAACTCAACTGCAAATCTGATATTAATGGTTTTTCAGTATTTGAGAATTTAAAATAGAAAATATCTGAATTATAAAATAACAACTTTTCTTACAATAAAACTACCATTTAATTCCTGAAATATTGAAATTCCTTTCATTGTTAATTGTTCGACATCATTATTATACTTACTGAAATATAAAGCTCCATTTTAAAAATGATTTTTTATAATTTTGGTTATTACATGTTTAATACATTATTATGAAAAGGAGTAACATTTATAGGAAAAGGTACTATTTATATATATAAATTTACATTTTTAAAAGCTCTATTAGCGTACTTCAACACAACTTTATTTTCTTTAACAATATAGAAAAAACTAGATTAGACAATTGGGAATTTTAGCTTACAATTGAGATAGCAAAACTAACATTCAGTCTCGAATTTAACAAAATCTTAATCAATAATATATAAGTACATTTTAAGAAGAATAAAAATCATTAATTTCCGAAATTTCTCGTTGATATTTATTCCTTGTTATATGAAGTAATATTATATATAAAATATATTTATACATATAATATTACTTTTAAATATGATTCGGAAAAGCAAAGTTAAGTTTGTAGATAAAGTTTTTATCTACAAACTAATCTACTACCTATAAGTTTTATCTACTAACTGTACGTTTGAAATAGAAACTATTACATTAAACATATAGAAAGGGAAAAAATTGCGTGTGATAGCAGATGATGTCATATTCTTTTATAAATAAGCATCTTTATTTGTTCATTCAAATGATTCAATTTTCATTCATTCAAATGATATAGAGGTTTGCATTATTTATAGTATGCTCTTTCTACTTTTGAATAGGGATATAATTCATGTAAACAGATGAATTCATTCTACAGATTAGACTGCTTGAAAGCACAGGGAAGCTTTTAACAGCATTTTTCTGCTAACTTCTTGAAAATCAACCATCTCCGTTATAAGAAACTCTAATGTAAAAAGTATTCGGTAAAATAAAATAAAAGTGTGTTTGGACAGTTGCAAAATAAAGAATGATTTGTATATTTGTAAGCAGCAAGAAAAACTAATTTTCAAGTATACGAATTTACTAAAATTGTTCCAGAATTGTAATTATTATGCATTCCTTTTTTATTTTATCTTCCGCTGATTTCTATATAAAAACAATGAACGAAATGGTTTTCCTGCTATTAAGCATTCTAAAGAAAAAGACTTCCTTTTTCACCTTTCACTTTTAGACTTCCTTTCCTAACACAAAGGAAGTTACCAATTCGACCTCTTACTTGGCCATTCTTACAATTAAATTACCGAAAAACTAACTTGCAACAAACAAATATGGTTGTAAAGTCTATTGATAACGAGGTATTACAACTTATTCCTTTAAATATAAATAACATTTTGTTAATTATCGGTTATATAAAATTTCCGTTATTAAAAAACAAGTTAAATTCCTTTCCAGCTTTCTTATGTTAAACACCGGCTAAAACAAGGAATACATTAATCGAGTTCAACTGTATGGATTTCCTTCACATTTACACTAACAGACTACGCATGTATCTTGGATAACGTGTCCAAGCTAGCAAAGTGGGAGCTCTGTGGATTAAATGTTGATCAGTTAAAAAGAAAATGATCTGTTTCCACTCGTTAATTTTCAAATTTTAAGACCAGCAAAAGATGCCATTTTGATTTCATTTATCTCAGACTTATAATATTTTATTTTAAGGTCAGAATTTAAATCCATGAAGTATGAAATATTTTAGCTTGTAGAATAGCTTTTAGACTAGAGTATTCTGTTATTTTTCTTCATCATATAAGAGGTTCAGTTTAGCTCACCGAGCTTTGGATTTTCTTCAATTGTATAAAAACATTAAAAAAACTTTAATATTTTAACTCGTGCTGTAGAAAAGCAAACATGGTTTCTTCAGTTACACTATTTTGCAGAATTAAGTTTGCAGTGTAAAAATTTGCATTCGTTTTTCTTCTACTATTTGTGACTTCCTTCTGAAATAAAAGAAAATATTAGAATAATTAGAATTTTAAGTATTAAAAAGATTATCACAAAGGAACAGAATTTTATAATACAGATATTGTGCAAGACCCCGGTTCTGGTTTGGGTTCAAATCTACAATATTCATGGTCCACACATATTGGTGGCTGCTTTTTATCACTGAGAGATATTGCACCGGCATGGATAATTTAAAAAAATGAAACTTGCGTTTGAAAGAATGACTTGAATAATGTTTCTGTTTCTAGATATGTAATACATCATAGGAAGTTTCAAAACACATTAGCCATAGGCCGAACTCAGCAAACCCGTAATAAAATCTTGATTGGACTTATTCAGCTTTATTCTACTACTCATTTAAGTCTTACTTCTGTTTAATATAATATGTCTAAATATTTTCATATAATTTTATTCATTATTTTTAAAAATATTTTCAAAGTATCAAATAAAAATTACATTAAGAAAGAATATTTTTGAAGAAATACATTGGTATTGATTATAGCCTCGTGTGCACAATTAAAAGTATCTGCATATTATGCAGAATTTCTAAAAAAACTGAAAGACAGATTTTAATCAAATTCGGTATGAACACTCATTAATAGCGCAGAAAGACATGTGCTATTCAAAAGCCATTTTACGTACTCATCATTTAGGATTATCAGTAAAGCTCATAGTGCAAGATGTCCAAAATCAATATTATGATGCCGAAATGAAAGTGAGTCTAATATGGAGTACGGTACTTTCTCACAGCTAGATAGGTTCCGCAGCGTGACGGCATTCAGGACTGATGACAGGTGACGGAGGGCGAGAGCACCTAGTGTCTAACAGAGGTAAGCGGGTGCATCGGCATTCTGGACAGGAGGCAAGAGTCTCTGTGGCAGTCGATCCCACTACTGCAGCAAGGGAAGCTTCAATTGCGGGATGGTCCTCGGAGGGGGATGGCAAGATTAAATTTCCTACTCAAGAGCGTTCTATATATGTTTTATAGGGTTCATGTCAGGAGATTTCTGACCGGCCAATCCATGCAGCCATTATCCCCCTTTCCAGGTAATCGTCGGCCAGCTGACCCCAAGACCAATTGCGCCTCTTAAAAGTCGAACATAGGGCTCTAAGACCTTCTCTCTATTGCTCATTGCAGTCAGGCAGCATTTGTAAAATACATTAAGGAGTGTGCGGTCATCCAACAAAATGCCTGCACCAACCATTACACACCACCACCATAATGATCCTTTTTCCTTGCTAAGAGAGGGATGGTATCGTAATTCTGGATCTCTTCACATCCAGGTACGCCGAGAATCACTGTCCAGGTACAAACGGTGTACTTCAGTGAGCGAAATTCAAATAGCGATTCTTCTGGCATACAGCCCTATCTCATGAAGACTTCGGGCAACTGTAGATCGCCAACATCGGGTTCCAGTGTCAGCATACAACTCATGTGAGAGTTATGATGCTGTACCAATCCTGTGTTGCGCGCTGAAAGTGCTAAATAACGATCCCCAGTCGTCTTTGTGGATCTTGGTTGATCTTGTCCAGGGTACTCGATAAGGATTTAGTGTCCCAAGCTGTTTCCACTAATTAGAGACAATACTGGGCGTTAAACTGAGTTCTGTAGCTACCTCTGCTTACGATAGGCTTTCCTCCAATCTACCAACAATTCTCCAACTTATTCCGTCATCCATACGTTCATGGCTACTTATATCGTCACATACCATATAAAAGTTTCCTTTTGTGGTTTTGAGGGGGTCAACCCTTTATAATCATATGGTCCAGTGGGACTAGGAGGATTGGGTCTTCCCTGTATTATGACCATATAAAAGTTATCAATTCTTGCGATCAACTTGGTGAATATCGTCAGTATGCTCACACAAATCGGCGAAAAACCCTCGTGTGTTTATATCTCTTCCACATCACAGCAAAAATACATGTACCACACATGTATACCCTTATGTATTCGACTCTGAATACTCGCATGATTCTTCGGTGACATAATTACTATCTTTGTTTCAATACATTTCTTCAGTCATAATTTTCATATTCTCTTAATTTTGCAAACGAATTTAATTTTTAAATATAAATTTAATAACAACGAGAGCAGGGATGCAAGTAAAACAGAAGCGAAAAATAACGTTTTTAAGACAGAATCTTAGCTAAAAAGATGAAACGGTTATGGTTTGCAATTCTCTGACTGGTTATTTAAAGTTTTGATGTTGATTGTTGATTTTCAGACTGCAATACATAAAGAATAAAGATTAGTATTAAGTTCTTAATTTTCCCACTACACTGATGCAGTCGGATTTTGTAAGTGCGTACGATTTTCTAAAGATGAAACAAAAAGATATAACATAACATTTTTGTTTTAAAAGTTCATAAAGATTGCATGCGTCTGCAGATACTAAAAATTAGAAGGCGATGAATAGTTGAGAAGCAAAACTGCTTATAATTTATGCAAAATTCTACAAATAATCTAGAAAATAAATAAATAAAAAATAAAATTATTTGCAACTATTTAAAAACATTGTATTTTAAATTTTTGAACTGAAATCTAAAAATCTAAGTTTTGAACTAGAGCATCAATTACCTGTTGAATGAAAAAAACTCCTGATCCTTCCCGAAATCCTTAGCGTCATTTATAGTCTGAGGCAAGTTTTCATTTAGTGTTTCAGGAAGAAAGGCGGATAAGACACCAGCTAACATGCAGAAACTTCCAATTATTAGGAAAGGAATGGTTTTTTTATACATGCCCTGAAAAGCAATAAATTCTTAGAATTTAAAAATTTATAATAAAAAATATCTCAAAGGAGTGTGACTTGGAAGTCACACTAGAGGGGTTTTAAAATATACTGTATATTATATATATAAACGTTATAAGCGGTGTACGTAAAGCAAGCATTTAACAGCATGATGTTTTTAGTGTAATAAGCGTCCATGAGTCATTTGAAAAGTGATACACCGCCGAAAGTGATGATTAGTTATAAGCGTTATGTAGCGTCTATGAGTTATTTGGGGGGAATGTGACACACAGCAAAAGCGATTCAAAGCAAAAGTGAAGATAAGTTAAAAGCATTAGAAGTCATTCACGTTACCGTCCATAAAATGCTCACTATTTTAGAGCTATTAAATTAACGTAAGTTTCATGTTTCAAGATTCATAAATTGTACTGGAGGGGAAATAAATCAAAATCTGCAAATGTACGGCACATACAAGCTGAATTTTACATTTTACAGAATTTCAATCAAAATCGATTATTAAAAGAATATTATTTAACGGTTTTTAAGACTGGTATATGAATTATACCGGGGGGCCCATGTAAGTCTTGCTCTTATTCACCATTACTGACCACCGAGCTTGTCTTTCTTATGTACTCTGTGGTGTGGTGGTGTGGTGTATTTAATTATGGCAAAGCACACTAGGGCTATCTGCCTAAGGGGAGGGATGCCTTTCGTGGAGGACTTTCTAAGGGAAACTGGCTCGTATACACGTTACACATGGAGAAAACCACGAAAACGCCCATGCAGCCAGCCCGTTCGCGGGATTCGAACTTCGGACCGAACTACCAGTGTTCAGCGACTTTACCGCTCGGCCGCTGGTGGGCTCTCTGTGGAGTGAGAGTATTTAATTATATCCCAATACAGTTATTTATGAAAGAGGCTTCTACGAAGGCCAGGGGCTTGATAATGGAAAAAGAATGTCTTTTAGTAATGCCAGATATAAAATTGTTTAAAAATTTTTCTCCCTGAAAAAATGATATTTTGCATTTTATATTTACAAAAATTAAAAAGGGACCCTTACGGCGCCCATAGACCCGATACGTTTCGCCGAAATCATTGGAAACATACATTTTTGCTTTAAACTTTCGCTACCCGTTTTGCTCCAGCATTTAGAAAGTCTGGGTTAAAGTTTAATAATATATTGTTTTGTAAATTTAAATCATTAAGTGCTTCAACTTTATCTTAACAGTTTCTGTTAGTTAAGACACAATAACAGGCCGAACAAATACTAATTCAGAAGTCAAACAACAAAAATCAGCGTTATATTTTCAAAATTTTCACAGGACTAGTTTCGATGGTTTTACCGAACCACCATAATCAGCTGTAAAAACGAAAATAAACTGCTGCCGAAATTATTCAAAAAAACATCTTCCATTGGAGAACTGGATTTTGTAGAGGCATTTCACATTCAAAAAATCTTTCTGTTCTAGTTAACGATCCTAATTCCAAACCATCTTCGCCTTCGGCTTTTAAAGAAACTATGCTTTAGTTCTGGTTTCATCAACAGATGGCGCCACTTGCTCATTCTTGTCCAGGCTTTCTTATCTTATCTAATCATTATTTCCTATCTTGTTCATTTGCGATTTGACAGCTGAGGATGATGGTTCGGTAAAACCATCGAAACTAGTCCTGTGAAAATTTTGAAAATATAACACTGGTTTTTGTTGTTTGACTTCTGAATTAGTTTCTGTTAGCTTAGGTCTCGTAAATAGAGGAGACTGACTTATATGTACGAGTTTTGCAATTTATTAAATTTAAAGTTTTAATAAAACGGCTCGATTTCAGACATTTTTGAGTTTACAGTTGTCGTACTATAACTGTTCAGTAGTACGCCTGGTGCTCGATCTTCCTGTCTGTACAGACTCAGACTTCCTTAAAATTTTTTCAAAGCGAACGTTTGTGTATCGTCATAAAAGTTTTATCTCATCAAATATTACTTCGTCTGTCACTTCATAAAAGCTCTTTCTGCCCCTTTTTATAGACAGACTTTGCATTTACAATTAATTTCTTATTAGTATTCTCAAAATCAATAGAGCTAAGTGTTTGATTAATTTTCATTATTATTTTTTTCTATTTCAAATTTTTATATACATTTTCTCAGCATTTAAGTTTAAAAATTGATTCCTAATTTTATTAGGTACACAATATAATTATTATTACTGTACGTAGTAATAAAAAATTCATAAAATATATTATTAAAGTGCTTAATAATATTTTTATGAAACTCTAAAATTGTAATATCGAAAAATGTATCTATTGTAATATCGAAATATGTATCTATTACAAAGATTTGAAATTTTGAGTAGTTGTAAAAACAATTATTGACCTCTTTTAAAACAGGAATATTAAAAAATATTTATTAACAGACTTTTTAAGAATATTTTTATACTACTCACGTTTTTTGTTTTTATAAGCTTTTATTTACTCCCTCAACTATGGTAAAATTTGCATCATTGTTTAAACTGTTTGCTGATAAACTATGGTGCACAAATTTTGGAAGCAAACTCATTGACTCATTTGACAATAGACTGAGGTGAAGCAATTTTTTTTGAAGGGATTCAACTTTTTTAATTCAATATTAAAACGATTTGTTGCACACACATCAGCTTACCCTATTTTTACCAATGGGTGAGTGAAAAATTTTTAAATGAGTATTATATGAGGTTTCTAGCTTAATTTCCGATTTTTTAGCCAAATCCGCGGATTTTTTTTTGTAACATTTATCGTAACAGAGTTGTTGGAACTAAAAGAGTCCTTATTTATTGTTAAAAATGGTTTTTCAATTGGATTCTTTAATTCGTATCATGTCATAGAGACTGAAGAGCTGAAAATTAAAAAAAAAAAAAAAGTTTCTTTTAATTAAATCGGCTTTTATTTAAAACTCATAGCTTTTGGTGAGCTAAAGGTAGAAATGTAATTTATCATTTAGTTTCATTTCTACCAGTTAATTAATTCATAAGATTAAATAATTCTCCAGATTCATCTAGAATTTTACCTCACGAACAATAAAAGGTGTTACGCCTAAATTACGAAACCCATTAATCAAATTTTATTGTCAAAGAGGAATTTTTTAAAGAGAATTATTTGATTTCTTCTTTAAACTACACTGCTGGTCATTAAAAGCTGCTACTCCAGGAAAGAAAAGCAAATAGCGGAATCTTGTTTATTGTACACATGGAGAATAAGAAGAAGCAAACCCATACCTAAATATTTTTTCACCTGAGGGAACGAGGAAAATGCGCCCCCCCCTACATGCAATGCAAGGTAAAAGGCAACTGAAAAAAAGGAGTACGAAATGACCAAGAACACACCCACATGCACATACACACATATACGTACAGGTAGAAAGTTAACTAGATCTGTGCGTTTTTTTATAAAAAGAAATATACAAAGTAAAAAATCGTTCAATTCTAATCTAATTGTGTAAATTGTGTACCGATAGCAGCAACAAATGGTGGTAATGAGGCATAATAAAATAAAAAATTCGCTTAAATTTCACCACGTATTCAATACGGAGCAAATCACAGGCAAGAACCAAGAAAACTAGAAGCACAATGGCAAATTGCCAGAAATAAGGGAGAAATCGTAAATGAAACATGAAATTTACCCAAACCAAAAAGGAAATATAAAATTTATATCTTTCGCTGCATCGTCGTAAGTAAATTTGTGAAAAGCTTTGAGAAAATCGTTGGCAAAAGCTCTGAGCACCATACAGATGGCAGTACGACTTCGGTCAGCTCTGCTCCCAATTAGGAAGGAGACCACCCCGGGAGAACAGGTACGAACGTCTCCCACCGCTCTTTCCCTACCACCAACCTCTCAAGTGGACATCTGACTCGCCGCATATTTAGGATGCCCCATGACGCACAGACGCTACACATTTACAAACATCCATCCTTTCTCCGGGATTCGAGCCGGTCCATTGAGTATCGGAGTAGGCTTTCTCTAACCATTATACCGTCTGAATGGCCTGAGAATGCCTAATTGCTAAAAATGAAAAGAGGTATCCAAAACATTTACAAACAATCTTGCCTTCAGCGGGGTTCGAACCCAGGCCATTCGTATCGTAGTAGGCTCCCCTAACCACGATAACATCTGGGCGGCACAAAAGAAGTAAATAAATAAAACCGCCTGTTTATGAATCCACAAAGACACAACGTTTAAAATTAAAAAATATTGTTAGAACAACCATAAAGTAATCTGTGTGCAACAGTAAACAGCAAGAAAAGTAATCTGTGCGTAGGCAGTGAAAAAAATTGCGAAATTATAGCATCAAAATAGTAAGCAAATAAAAAAAAATTGCAAAATCATAGACACATTTTAAAATTTTATTTTAAGTAGATAGAGTACAAAAACAAAACTTGCAAAACTATTAATCCAATATGGCCCACCAGCGGCCGAGCGGTAAAGTCGCTGAACACTGGTAGTTTGGTTCGAGGTTCGAATCCCGTGAACGGGCTGGCTGCATGGGTGTTTTCGTGGTTTTCCCCATGTGTAACGTGTATACGAGCCAGTTTCCCTTAGAAAGTGCCTCCACGAAGGCATCCCTCCCCTTAGGCAGATAGCCTTAGTGTGCTTTGCATAATTAAATACACCACACCATTAATCCAATATTTGAAAACAAAACCATGTGCAAATTTTTTAATCCAAGATGATGCACTGTCTCACACTACCCTTTCTGTTTACAATGTCCGGATAGACGTTTGCAGATACATAAGCTGTTATTTCGCGATAATTTGGGCTTAACTCTCAAATCATCTAATCACATGTAACTTTTAATTAAGAAGTTTTTGAATGATTAAACCTTTCGGGAAAGCCTGTTATGTATGAAATGGGAAGGACGGGATTCATTGGTTTTAGTTGACGGCAAAAGTGATACTGTGAAAAGCAGAATATTTTGAGAATCAGCTGTCAGATCACATAATTGTTTTGTTTAATTTTTGTTTTGTTTTGTTTTGTTTAGCTATGTATTTTTGTTTTTTGTTTAATTTTTGGATACAACTCTAATATACGCCCTAATTTCACCAAATGTGGCGATATGTGTTCTGCCCTGGTTTTTGGCCCGATTGCGTGTTCTATGGCAACCCTGTTGACGTTGAAAAATCTTTCACTGGAGCTCGTTGGTTCGCATCTGTGTCTGAGAAGATGGGAGGGAAAGATAAAATGGTAGTTGTTGAATTGAAGTTCGGCAAAAGGAAATATAATTGTGGCTATCCTTTGAGGGGTAGTGGGTATTTCGAAGTGTGGAAAGAGGGTCTGGGAGATTATTTTTAATGGCAGTGCAGCAGTGCATGATAGAGGTAGGGATTTGTGATTTTATTTATTTGTGAACCATAGTATAAATTTTCTGGATAGTGTGTCTGGCTGTCGTGTAAATACAATAGTGATTACATGACGACATGTTAAAGGCGGTATGAAATTTATATTTCTGCTATTCGAAAACGCATTAATTCATGGTAAGTGCATTTTATTTTATCCTTGTTCTTATTTTGTAGAATGTTATGTTCATTGGTTCTTTAGTATGAATTTCTGTCGTTATTGTTGTTTTTTTAAATTGTTTGAAATTTATTTTAGTTTATTTTGTTGTTTAGTGTCTACACTGTACAATTCGTAGATGTTTTTTAAAGTTGAAACAGAACGCTGTGTACATGGTATTATTTGAAATTTATTGTTGTTATGTTATTTTATTAAAGCGAGGAGTGCGTAGATCGTAGATTCCTTCCTTGCCTAAATTGTGCAATTCGTAGAATTTTTTTACAGTTTAAAACAGGATGCTGGTGTACATGTTTCTTTGAAATTTATTATTTTTATGTTGTTAATTTATTAAAGCGAGGTGTGCGTAGTTTGTAGATTCGTTCGTTGCCTACATTGTGCAATTCGTAGATGTTTTTTTAAGTAAAACATGTCGCTGTGTACAGGGATTCTTGTCAAATACTTTTGGTTAGAAACTTTACGTTTTTGCTATCTAAATTTTTTGTTTTTGTTTCGGATTTTTAGCTAAATTGTGTGTTCAAAACGTAGTTTTTGCATGTGCGAAAACCGCGTTTTTGGAGACATTTTAGGCTAAAAGTTCAAAATGTAGACAAAAAATTTAGATAGTAATATGGCAACGTGAAGTTTCTCGCCAAAAATATTTGGCGAAAAATTTGGCGACTTGAGGGCGCATATCAGAGTAGTTCCAATTTTTGTTTTGTTTTGTTTTGTTTAGTATGATATATATAATTTATATGCTATTACTGTTGTCGTAATTAATTATATTATCTAACTGATATATTCACATTGTTATAAATGCTAAACAAAACAAAACAAAACAAAAATTAAACAAAACAATTATGTGGTCTTACAGTTGATTCTCAAAATATTCTGCTTTTCACAGTATCACTTTTGCCCTCAACTAAACGCAGTGAGTTTCGTTTAGTTATTGAAACAGCCAATGAATCCCGTCCTTCCGATTTCATACATAACAGGCTTTCCCGTAAGATTTAATCATTTAAAAACTCCTAAATTGCACTTAAACCATAAAATTCAGTTCAACAGCAAATATCGCAAAACAGTTTTAAAATGAGCGTAGCTTTAGAATTTCCGATATAGAGACTCGCTCGCTGGAGATAAAAATGTTTTTTCTGTACAACGTTGCCATTGCTCGCTTTGAAATCCTTGAGTTTGTTAATCAAAAATTCGTTAGTTTTACAAAATATGAAATCGATAATAAAACAAATTCCAAATTTCAAATTTGGGCTTCCACATCCCCATATTTGCAGTAGAATTACGTCATTCGAAATTCGATAGCTCTTTGTACCGTTGTTTTACCTCAATGCGAGAAATATACATGCATTTATGCAGATTTTTCATAATTTAATTTCTTCAAATATAATGCAGGACTCTAACATTTGGTGGCAACAGTTTGAAAAGTGAAACGGGGCATTTATATAGTGAACCAACGCAAAATCGCAAAACGAAAACAATAGTCCTTCAGGGACAAAACCCCTTTGGATTAATAATAAATACTTCATGCTTCATATTCGAAGTTTCTATCATTATCAATAAAACTAAGATTTATCTTTATATGTCTTGGTTTTACATTTTAGACATATTTTTAAGTGTTTTTTTTAATGTCTATTAGTATTTTAGAGAAATACTTACAAAATATATAAGATAAGGTGTGGCTAGGGAAATTGCTGTGGCTATTGTACTAGTCGCACTCATTCCAAAGCACCTGACTACAGTTGGCCAAAGTTCTGAACTTCTCTGATAGGTTACCACATATGTGCCAGATGCAATGCACTTGCCGATGACCGAAATGACCACATCGCTGTAAGGATATTCTAAGAAAGTAAAATTCTCCATTAAGAAATTTAATTTTATCTTCATTTCAGAACTTAACAGTGAGATTTGTTAATACATAAATAATGTGAAAATATATAGGATTCTCAAATTAAGCTTTTCTTTCAGCTACGTTACGGGACTCACCAGCGGCCGAGCGGTAAAGTCGCTGAACACTGGTAGTTCGGTCCGAGGTTCGAATCCAGCGAACGGGCTGGCTGCATGGGCGTTTTCGTGGTTTTCCCCATGTGTAACGTATATACGAGCCAGTTTCCCTTAGAAAGTCCTCCCCTTAGGCAGATAGCCCTCGAGGCTTTGCCATAATCACACAGCTACGTTACGAGAATATTTTCCTAAAGTAGACATTTCGAAACATACACATTCACATTTCGAGGGCATTTGGGCTAATGTCCATTTGAGCTAAAATATTTCAAAACAACGTATTTTTAGAATTTTCAATAGACAGTCTCGCGCATTGGAGATAAAAATATTTTTTTTTCACACCGTTAAAATACGGTGAGATAACATTTGGTGGCAATAAATTGAAAAGCGATACAACGCTTTTACTGATTCAACGCAAAATGTCGTTTCGAGACTGATTGCCCTTCTGGGCTAACGCTCTTTGGGTAAAAGTTATCCATTAAGTAGAGAAAATACTTCAGTGTTACACTTTGTATTCATCTAATTTTTACTTATCGTTAAAATATAGTTTTCATAGTAAACACTAGTTTCTTAGTTATCATGAAAAATACACAGACTGCTCAAATATGTTTGTTCCTTTAATAACAGAAACTAACTGATGTAACATTTTTAAAGGTTACAGTTCCGAAAATCCTTCAAAATTCACAAAAAACTCATTCTGAGTAAGGCAAATTTTAATATGTTACACCAGCAGCGCCAAACAGGCGATACAAACTCAAAAACTCTATCCAAAACCGCCAATTGGCGAAAGACAGTAAACCTGTATGGCAACCCTACGAGCTGACGAGGAGAGACGAGTTTTCTCTGGTACTCTAGTCTGTGCCATAGAGCTGTGATGTACTAGAGAGAGAAACGGCAACCCTGAAGGGGAACAGGAATACGAACCACGTGACATTTGGTACATTTCCCAGATCGTATTTCCCGCGAATCTTCCTTACCATTACAGTTCTATGGAGAATTTGTGAGAAGCAAGGGTTTTGCGTGTAAGCGCATTGTTTCGGACTTCAAAAATGATACTTTCGTGCTCCGCATATGGATGTAATTCCAGATATGTGAAAGATGGAGGAGTAACATTTCACAACTGAGCTTTTTCTAATGTTTTAAAACCTAATTTTTATAAAATGTAGAGGTTTTTTTATCCACTCTACTTGCCTTTTTCTAATAAAAAATAGATTTCTAATTTTATATAATATATGCATACTTGAAATAACATTTAAATAAAAGTATCTTAATATATATGTATGTTTCTAATAACTGTTTTCTGAAAAAAATGTTAAAATTTTAGTAATACAATATAATTTTAATTAGTCTAGTATTCTGCTTTGGCGACATTTTTTATACGCCAACAGACTGCTTTGAATGCGTTTGTTTATATATTCTTTGCGTTTGCTCATGCGGACATGTGCGAAGTAGTAATGTATGTATTTAATACTTGATAATGTTGATGTAACACTGTGTAAGAACTGCATAAAATTATGTTTTTTTAGGGGGGGGGACATGAATGACTTTATTTATATCCTTTTCTTGCATCCAAATATAACAAATTTGTTTACCTTCAATCACGTATTTTCTTTCTTATATCATGTTTCTGGCATTTATTCAAATATTAATAATTTGTTAAGTATTAAAGAAAATAGCAATTATACAGCAGTTAAATTTCAAAACTTTAATAGATTTAAGTTTCTTTTTAAAAATAATGAACATTATTTAAATTTTAATTTTACATTATTTAATTTTATATATATATATATATATAATTAAACTTAGGAGATAATATAATCAATTAATCAATACTGTTTAGGTAATAAATATATATATATATATATTTGCTAGTAAAAGGAAGTCTTAATTTACCACCTTTTTGTTTCATAATTTAATTATTTACCACTCTCTCTCTTCCTTTTAACTTATATCTGCTATATTGACATTCATTTTTAGTTCATTTTATTTAATATCTTTCTCACTTTGATTTGCCTACTCTGTAGTTCTCTGTAATACACCGTATTAACACTAAATTTCCTTTTCGTATTAACATTAAATTTACTTTTCGTATTAATATTAAATTTCCTTTTTGTACTATTTTCTGTTTTCACTCATTCTTCTTATGTTATCTATTTTTTTATTTTTTTTTTATTTTTTATTCTGTACTGAGTACTAAAAAGCCTTCTTTTTTATTTATTTATTTTTTAGTTTGCTATTAGTTTATTATTTATTATTAGTTTATTATTTATTATTAGTTTATTAGTTTATTATTAGTTTATTATTTAGTTTGTTCTCTCCAGTTTTTTTAATTTTATTTTAAATTTGGTAGACGCCGATGGACATATTGCAAAATATTATTCTACAGCATGAAAATTATTTAAATTTTAAAAATTAAAATAAAGTTAAATTTTAAAATAAAGTGTTCAATTTTAGGGAAATTATTAATTTTGGCTGGTGTTTATCGATCTAACCTCTTCTGCAAATTCAACGGCAGCTTCTGCGAAATGACGTCTTTCCAAGTTCGCATTTCGAACTGAGAGAAAAGAGAGAAAAAAATCGCCAGCCATGGCGATAGTACGCCAAAGTCTGGATTCAGTTGCATTTCATGCCCAAACTCCTGCAGCTCATTCCTGTGCCACTTTTTCACCCGGTTTTGAATGGCGATGCTCCGTCTAGTATATAACAGGTCTATGGTCTGTGCCTTCACCGACATGTGTAAACTTCGGCATCCGTGTCTGTGTTGGGATCGTGCTCCTTCTTAAGCTATCATAATGTACCTAACCGTGTTACTTTTCCTTATTAAATTTCATTGTTAATTGTATATGCCTATCTCAATTATGACTGCTATTTTTTTAGGTTAATGTTATCAGTACTTTTGTAGGCACGTGTTACTCGCGCTTACCTCAATGTGAACAAAGTACGGTAAATTAATTCGCAGACCGGCATCGCAGTTTCTTTCCTAGAGTATTTGAGGTTGAATGTGTACAAAAAATAATAATAAAGTACACATAAATTTCAAACAGATAGAGGTGAATATTAGTTATTAGGAAAGTAACAAATTAATCTAATAACCTTAACAGTTAGTGTGTGTTCCTCGTCTAGCGAGCTGATAGTCAGTCATTAAGCGAGTGTCTCGAAGTCTAGCCCCGAGTTGGTCGTCGAGTGCATCGAGAGAGTCTTTTAGTGCATCGTCGAGTTTTGTCTTAGACTGTGCTGAGTCGAGACCTATACTCTTGTGTATCGTCGAGTGCATTGCGTGGAGAGTCTTGAGAGTACGTGGAGTTCCGAGAACGACCCAGCAGAGTCCAGAGCTGTACTCTAGTTCTTTGCCGTGAAGCTGTCTGCATCGTGATAGCCTGATAACCTGAAGGCTGTGTCGCTGATCGTGTCAGCGTGTTTATAGTAGTTCATTGACGACTGTAAAACGTGTTTTGGAGCAGTCCTGATTCATATTGGCTAACTAAAGTGTTTCAATACTTCATAAAGTGTCATCGTTATTAACTCCAAATCTACGAACCCCGTACGAACGTGGTGAAGGAAGAAAATAACGTAACAACTGGTGTCAGGAAGAGAAAAACCGTAACAATATAAAACTACTTTATGCCACTTTGTTTTCAAGGTCATATTCCAGATTCAAACATTGTAACACAAAAATTCAGTACCGAAAAGATTTAAACTACTAAACTTATTTATTTCTAAGGTTATACAACTTTAAAATCCTACCTATCATACATGAGAAACAGACAAGACCTCCAAGAATGAAACCAGCAGTAATAGTGAATCTTCTTCCGTAACGTTCCATAAAAAACCAACTTAGCAAGTTGCCTGGTGTTTCCATCAAAGACAGCAGGAAAAAATTTATAAATTCATTTCCGCTTAAATTATATATGTTCATCTGAAGGCCATAATATATTAGGTAGTTTGCTGTCCTAAAATGAAACAGATGTTAGCAGCATAATAATATTATATGACACTAAATCAAATTTCTCTTCCTATACACAAATAAATAAGCAACTGTTTAAGCTAAGAAATTATGAACGATCTATTTTTTTATATGATGTTATTTAAATTTATTCTGTGGTTAAAATAATTATAGCTTATTTTAATTTATGTTATGCTATTTTATTTTATTTTTACGTTCATCTGAAGACCATTGTATGTTAAGTATTTTTCCGTCGTAAAGTGAAACAGTTATATGTTGCACAATATAGCAGTTTTATCACAGTAAATTAAATGTCATTTTCTATATGCAAAGAAATACGCAATTCTTTAATTAAGAAACTATGCATGGCTAATTTTATTTTATATTATGTTAATTCAATTAATATTATGCTTTTTTAAGAAATTATCTGCGGTTTATTTTATTTTATGTTATTTAATGAAATTACGTATGGTTTATTTCATTTTATATTCCGTTGTTTTATTTTATGCTTATGTTTATATGCATCTGAAGACCATAATACTCGTATATTAATATGCCGTTCTAAAATGAAACAGATATTAGCAGCATAATAGTACTTATTTTCACAGTCAGTTTCATTTCATTTTCTAAATGCAAAGAAATAAGGTAAGCAATTTAAGCTAAGCAATTTAATTTTGTATTGTTTGTTTTATTATACATTAAAACCTGTTCATCAATTCTAGCGTTTTGTTTACTACACCAGAATTCGTAAATGAAGAAAATTTTAGATAGGAGGAAGAATCTAAAAATGTGGTCTAGCAGCAATTCGTAAGGCAGTTATAAAAGATTGGACTTAACGTTTAGTTGTTAAATTGTTTAAAACCTCTCTGATTTGTATATAAACAGTTGCACCAATATAGAGTGAACTGTCTTGTGACGACAATTCACGAAAGTGCTACCAGTATACTTAGAAATTGATTTGTATTTCTGAAGATATAAATAAATATGGATTTTTACCTTTTTAAAAAGACCATTGTCGTAGAAATACAAAAACATCTGAAATAGTGATTGATAAAGGCTCACTATAATTTGTTAAAAATTTTCACTGATTGGATGAAACGGAAAGTTACGTCCTATTGGTCTTTTCTCTGGTTTAAGCAGAAGAACTCCGACCCCTGGTGTTACAAAGCCTTAATATAATCTTGCATGCCTAGCAGTAAAAGCGACTGAGATTATAGCCTGTGGCACCTTAAATTTGATGACATAAAATAATTTGATTTTTATACTGTAGCAACCTTTAAAATTACGATAGCAAGTTATCATCTAGACAGACATTTCAGTTTCACAATATACAGTACTAATACTATATATAAAAGTGAAAGTTTAGGCGAATTATTATCTATAACAAGCAAGCTATCCCAAACATTTTGTGACTGACTTTTTAAATATATATTTAGATATTATTCTTATATAATCATAGGTATATTCATATTAACTCTTTTATCGTAATCCATGCACATATATTAATATGTTACTGGCAAAGTATTAAATCTGGCCGTCTGGAGAATACCTAGGCGTCTTATAGCATGCCGAAAACTGGCCGACAATGTTTGAAACAATTAAACATTTCGCACATTGCCTATACATTCCATAGAATGGCAAATAACAAACTGGTAATGTATGAAATACATCTCTGATTCGTTTTGACTAACAGAAAACACTTACAAGAAGTTAAAGAATGATGTAAAAAAAGCCAACATGATTACTGACAATAAACCGCGGGACTATTGGTTACTGAATCGCTATGATATGATGTTTGTAGAACACAAAAGTGAACTCATTTATCCTGTTAAAGAAGGCCTTAATACATTACTGGCTGTTCGGTTTTATTCCTCAAATGCCGTTGTGTGTTGTCCGCCATGCCGGTGATCCCAAGCTGAGTATTTTAACTCACAAACATAAGTACATTGTATTATGTCACGGATACTGAGTTATTTCAAGAAATTCATGAAATCCATTTGGCTGTTAGATATGGAAGATGTTACAGAATGTTGAAAGAAATTTCATGCAAATACAAAATCGTTACATATAACGATATTGAACTGTACACCCACCTTTGTGAGACCTGCCAGAAAAAACTAAAAGTTATTAAAAAAAACATGGTTTTTTTCCAAACTTATGACTTTTTTCAGAATTTGATTCCCGTTGTCAGGCAGATCTTATTGATGTCCAGCCAGATACAGAATGCAAATTTATCATGATGTACCGAGACCATCTCACTATTTTTTTATGTATTTTGAACAAAAGATTTTTAATGTCAGACTTTCATTATTTTTTCAAAATAACATTTGTATTTTTGAGGTCTTTTAAATAATAGTCTTATCATTACATTTTCTTCATGCTTTGCCTAAAAAAGCATTTGCCAGTGAGTAGGATGCCTAGGTATTATATACAATGCCTCGGTAAAGTACATGATAATTTTCATATTTCCATACTTTGCCTAGAACTGCCAGGCATTCTTAAAATGCCTAGGTATTCTAGAGAATGCCAGCTTATCACATATTGCCAGTAACATACCTAACTTTACATTTTGATGTAACATTCATTGTTATTGCTGGATTAACCATTAAGCAAAATAATCACGCGCTTAGAGCATCAAGAATAGGGGGCACCACAAATGGTCCTTGTAATTTAAGGAAAGGGGGGCCACAAAAAATTTCTTTGTTGGTTGTATGTATGGTGTAATGGTAATCCCACGTATGACGCAGCTAAACCAAGACCAAGAGAAAAGAAACCGGTAAAAAAAAAAAAAAAAAAAAAAAAAAAAAAAAAAAAAAAAAAAAACAGATATTGTATTGTAAATGTATTATGGGAGCGCATTAAAATCTTTTAAGAGCTTAAGGCCTTTAAATGCATTAATCTAGCTTTGTAACAATGTAAAACGTTTGGAACAAACCTATAAATATCAATTAATATTTTAGTAAACTCGGACTTTATTAATATTTTTATTAATTTAGTATAATATATGCTTAATAACGTTATACATACTTCCAATTTGATTCCTACCACAAATTAAATAAAATTAAGCAAGTAAAACTGTAAGGATCTTAAGTTTTACTAACGTTTATTTTATTTTAAATCTTTACTATCACTTCTTATTTTCTACTTCCGGCCAGAATTAAAAGCTTTAACTTATTTATGCAAATTTGTCTGGCGAACGCCAAGTACTTAAGTTGTGGCTTTTTGCCAAGCAAGGAGAGAGGAAGGAGTTAGTAGAAGCAGGCCGCTTGCCTTAGCAGTTTTACTCGGTTGCTGGTTGCCTTCCAGGCCAGAGATTTAATCCTCTTAATAATTTTAAACGTATTGTAGTGTTAACAGTTCTCTGTACTACATACGGCTTCCTGTTAATATACGGCCAATCTTCCACGTAGGCCCTTGTTTATTATTCCAAAGTTAAGTTAAAGTTTAGTTAATATTTTTATATTCTTACGTTCAGACCACAAGTGGTTGGTCTCTGTATTCCGAAGTCCGGAAATTATTGTAAAGAGTGAAAAAATAAAGGGTTTCGTATACCCTTCCTGTGTATCTTGTCTACTTCCCACATTTATTGAACATAGCTTTAGTAAGCTCCCTGTTCCGAGTCAGGTTCTTGAATGTTCCCAAAGCAAGTAAGGAGAAACACTGAACCTGATAAAACAATGGAAATATTACATTTGTTAAACAAAATTTCATCGTGTGATTCGATTATAACATAATTTCTGCGCAGCTTTTAATAAGTGGTTGTAAAAGAATTCAGTAATTTTAACGTAAAATAATTTAAAAGCTTAAGCCCCTTTTTTAAAATTCAAATTTAACTTTACCATGTAATAATCAGAATCATGTCTCAGAAAATTCACAAAAGAGTTCTCGGTATATAATTTTAATTCTATCATCTAAACATAAATGGATTTTTTTTTCAGCAGAATAGTACATTTTTCCGCTTTTAGTATTTTTAGTCTTAACTGCTGTAGAGATTAGCAGACTAAAGAATAATTGCTAGTTTTAGCAGTGTCCAACCAATAATTCTTAATAAGTAACATATAAAAATACTATTCATGAAATTAAGAGTTGTAATTTAAGGTTGATTGAAAATATTAACTGTTTATTTATAATTCAACAGATACATTTTCTCACCAACAAATTGTCATGAAGATGAACACCTTTCTCATATGGGGTACTTTTAATATATCAGAGGCTGAATTTTGCAGACCTGCTTTCTTCTCTTCTTTGCGCTTTTTATCTAATGCCTAGTTTTAAAAAATACAATTTAAGCAGAACTTATGATACCTATTCTGCAACAAAACAAAACAAAAAAAAATTAAATGATACATACAAGCACTAAATTTATTAAATATTACAAGAAATCATAATGTTAGGTTTAAATATTTTCTTACTTTCTTACTCTAAGGTTAGTATCTTTGTTTAATTGTCTTCTCCACTGTATGTTTCATTCATTCACGCCAGGTGACGATAGTAAAGCGATTAGCAAGCATAAAGGACACAAAAGATATTAAAGCAGAGGAACTACTCTGATATGCGTCCTCAAGACGCCAAATTTCTCGCCAAAAATATTTGGCGAGAAACTTCACGCTGCCATATTACTATCTAAATTTTTTGTTTACATTTCAAACTTTTAGCCTAAAATGTCTCCCAAAACGCGGTTTTCGCACATGCAAAAACTACGTTTTGAACACACAATTTAGCTAAAAATCCGAAACAAAAACCAAAAATTTAGATAGCAAAAACGTAAAGTTTCTCACCAAAAATATTTGACAAGAATCCATGTACACAGCGACATGTTTTAACTTAAAAAAACATCTACGAATAGCACATATAGGCAATGAACGAATCTATAAACTACGCACAACTCGCTTTAATAAATTAACAACAATAAATTTCAAAGAAGACCATGTACACAGCATCCTGTTTAAACTTTAAAAAAAATCTACGAATTGCATAGTTTAGGCAAGGAAGGAATCTACGATCTACGCACTCCTCGCTTTAATAAAATAACATAACAACAATAAATTTCAAATAATACCATGTACACAGCGTTCTATTTCAACTTTGAAAAACATCTACGAATTGCACTGTCTAGACACTAAGCAACAAAATGAACTAAAATAAATTTCAAACAATTTAAAAAACAACAATAACGACAGAAATTCATACTAAAGAACCAATGAACATAACATTCTACAAAATAAGAACAAGGATAAAATAAAATGCACTTACCATGAATTAACGCGTTTTCGAATAGCAGAAATATAAATTTCATACCGCCTTTAACATGCCGCCACCTAATCACTATCGTATTTACACGACAGCCAGACACACTATCCAGAAAATTTATACTATGGTTCACAAATAAATAAAATCACAAATCCCTACTTCTATCATGCACTGCCATTAAAAATAATCTCCCAGACCCTCTTTTCACACTTCCAAATACCCACTACCCCTCAACAGGATAGCCACAATGATATTTCCTTTTGCCGAACTTCAATTCAACAACTACCATTTTATCTTTCCCTCCCATCTTCTCAGACACAGAGGCGAATCAACAAGCTCCAGCGAAAGTTTTTCAACGTCAACAGGGTTGCCATGGAACACGCAATCGCGCCAAAAACCAGCGCAGAACACATATCGCCACATTTGGTGAAATTAGGGCGTATATTAGAGTTGTACCAAAGCAGAAATTGTTTAAGATGTCGTGGGGTTCAACATGATCTGTAAATGGTAATTTGTCTAACAACCCCAACTGATGCGAAGCGAATTACCACTATAACTGAAGTAACGATAAATTGTGAGATGGTTTTAAATAACCTTTTTATTTAAAGAAAATTTAGAATAAATAAAAACCACTTTCTTGTACTAACAATATCAGATACAACTCGTAGTGAAGGGACTAAACAACAGTCAGATACAAGTTAAACTTGGAACAGCAGTCAATAGCCCTGGAAGCTAACTCAATTCTACGAAGCTTTAAAATCAAAGTTTCGGCAGCAATTTAGTGCAAAGCCGAATAATTACATCGATCAGAGCTGGCAGAAACTAAACATAACGTGAGGAACACTCTCTGTCTTGTAACTCCAAAAATCTGAACTTAAATAACAGCTATCTCATTTGCATTCTAGTGAAGAAAATGGAAAGAAGAAGTTATAGGCTAGAATATAAATAACCGGTTAATTTAAATAATAACCATATAATGTAGCAATTGTGATTGGGTCTTTCGCATCTACTGCATGTCTGGCTACTTGTTTGCTTATTAACTTGTAACTTCTATTATATAGTGTCTTGAATTCTACCGACAGGTAGAATTAAGGTGACCCCAAAGTCTCGCAAATTTAGCTTACAATTAAAATAAACAAAATTAACAAAAAGTTAGATTCTCCTAAATGAATATCCTTGGCAAATTGTTTCAATTGCTAACACCCTATTATGGTGCAAATAATATGTATCACCTGAATCTTAAATTGAGGTTAATGCTATTTGTTTTAAGCCGCGATGTTTATTTGGTGCAAAATAGGTAACTACTCTTATATGCGCTCTCAGGTCGCCAAATGTGGCAACAAATTTTTCGACAGATATTTTTGGCGAGAAACTCCACGCTGCCATATTACCATCAAACTTTTTTGTCTACATTTCGAACTTTAAGCCTAAAATGTCTCCAAAAAAACGTTTTAAACACACAATTTAAGCTAAAAATCCGAAACAAAAACAAAAAATTTAGATAGCAAAAACGTAAAGTTTCTAAACCAAAAATATTTGACAAGAATCCATGTGCACAGCATCCTGTTTAAACTTGAAAAAAAAATCTACGAATTGCACAATTTAGGCAACGAACGAATCAACGAACTACGCACACCTCGATTTAATAAATTAACATAACAACAATAAATTTCAAAGAATACCATGTACTGTTTACCATGTTAGTACATGTAATACATGTATTGAATACCATGTACGTTCTGTTTCAACTTTAAAAAACATCTACGAATTGCATAATCTAAGCACTACGCACTAATCAACAAAATAAACTAAAATAACTAAAATAAACTTCAAACAATTAAGAAAAAACAACAATAACGACAGAAATTCATACTAAAAAAACAATGAGCATAACATTCTACAAAATAAGAACAAGAATAGAATAAAATGCACTTACCATGAATGAATGCTTTTTCGAACAGCAGAAATACCAATTTCATACCGCCTTTAACATGCCGCCACGTAATCATTATCGTATTTATATGACAGCCAGACACACTATCCAGAAAATTCATACTATGATTCACAAATAAACGCTCAAAACCTTCTTTTCCTAAATACTTGTAAGATTTCCAGCCATCCGAAAAAAAAAAATAAATGTACCAGACTCAATTCACTCTTTAATACACTGCATCAGTATTTCCTTACTTCTATCATGCACAGCCACTCAAAATAATCTCCCAGACCCTCTTGCAACCAGATCTCTCATTGCAACATAGGCTATTTTAAAACGCGCATGACACGAACCAACGAGCAATTAAACCACTTCCAGCAAAAGAGTTTTGAACGTCAAAAGGTTTGCCATACAACACGCAATCGCGCCCAAAACTAGCGTAGAACACATATCGCCACATTTGGTGATCTTAGGGCGCATATAAGAGTAGAACCCAAAATAGAGATAGTTTCCCAAGCAAATGAATTTTTATAATTAAGGATTACTTCGCGATGCTTAAATTTGATAGCAATGCCCACTTTTCACACAAGTTTTCGAAACTGCAATCTTTTATTTCTGATTTCATTCACTTTGTCCGAGCTCTGAAGAGACGGATGGCTACTTCATTGCGTATGGTGAAATTTTCCACTTTCTCGAAATCAGCTTACCAAACGGAAATCCTTATCTTGTTAGTCTCACGAACGTTCAAGAAGTCTCTTTAAACTCTTCAACAACTTTTCCGTACGAATGTTTTGCTAAGTAATGCTCAGTCAAGAAAAAAAAGAAAAAAAAAAAAAAATGTTCTGTTTGGGAAACCTCATCTCTATTTTGCGCCAATAAATGGTTTTTAAAGCTAAAAGCATGAATTGTAACTGAAATTAGAAGTTATGTGCGACTTGTAGCGGTATAGGGATGCCATCCGTGAACACTATTTTCATGAATATTTATTTTGGAATTCATCTACTTTTGCAATTTTGAGATGCAAGATTTTTGGATTCCCCCTCTGTTTCTATAGAGGCTGTTCTCACAAATTTTAGACGATTTCGCTTTGGCTATAAAATAAGTTTGTCTGCTTGGAAATTTTTTTGACTGCAGCTATATTTTTGAAAATATCAATTATGGTCTGCTACTTAACACTTTTGCTATAGAAGCGCACTTGCTTGTGCTAACAGTATTAGCCACAACTCCTAGTTCAGATTCAAGTTAAATTTGGAACGTAGTCAAAGGATACTCAATTTAAATAGCTCTCGAAGCTGGCTCAGTAATTCTACGAAGCATCAAACTCAAAGTTTCAGCAGCAGTTCTGGTGCAAAGCCGAATAAAAAATGGCGCTTTTGAAAAAGCAGTGGATGGAAGACTAAGTTTGTGCTCTTTCCAGTTAACGTTATTCGTATTTGGCTGTTACAAAAAGCTGTGAAAGCCATCGTTTTTTTATGTCTAGATTGACAGTAGGTCATATTATCAACAAGAAAGTAAACAAACGTCAAAGGTCGGCTTCAAGTGGAAAAATGGATAATCTAAATAAGATCTGCATTTTACAGTGAATGCCTACGCATACATTCCTAGAAACGAAATGGTGGACTGGCTTGGCAAAGAAGCAAGAAATCTAAACTTTGGTCATAATAATCAAATTACTCTTGATGATGAAAATGACATCAGAAGTTATGGACTTAGATGTGGAAATGTGGAGAAAACACGACTAAATTCATCAAATTAATGCTAATCGAGACACCCCAAAGAAGGAAGTTCGTTTCAGGAAGTGGCTCAGAATACTCACGCGACACTTTCGAGGTATGAAGATAGAATAGATTCGAGGTATGAAGATAGAAGGAGAGGGCACAAGATTTTATGCCGTCCCTGCAATAAAAGTGATTAGGTAACATTAAGTCCTCAGTATAATTCTGAATGTCTCGCAAAATTTGAATAAGCTCACTTATTCAAATTTTGGAGAATTTCTTTTCGATCCTGAGCGGCTGTATTCTGGAAACATCACTGAGAGAGCTTGCTGCGTTTTCTATACACATGAACTTTTGTGATCAACTTTGGTTTCCCTTGGACACGACACCACCTTAATACAGATAAATTAATACGAGAAAGGAATACAAAAAGTGATGGTCTTGAGTCAATGGATTCTCTTCAAACGTGATGCATACTTTGCACGGCAGGTCCATACTTCGAATGAGACTGCTGACTAAATTTTGCAATGATATTTTCTGCTCGTATAAGTTTCCAATAGTTAAAATTTTGCCTGGAGGTGTGAACACATCGTAAGATATATCTTTTGAAGAACGTTTCCCTTTTCTAATTGCTTATCAACAAGCGCAATACAAAATAATAAAGCCTTATAGTATTCCGAAAAAAAAAATTAGAATCCAGAGATTACCATTACATCTAGCTATAAATAGAGATTCTGCTGTTAGAAGCTATACTAACTGCACAAATGCAGGCGTCAATAGAGCAAGATTACGATATTAAGTAATTTTATTTATCGGCAAATAGATATAGTACATTTATCTGTTTACTATTGGTTTATGGAACTTTCATTTTGATTATTATTGGGTAAAAACATTTAGTTACGATTTTGATGTTCTTTAAGTGCGTGTCATACAATAACAGTATAACAGGGAATAATCGTTGTTCCTTGACGTAAAGAAAGGCTTTGTAAAAGCATTTGGGATAAAAGCCATAATTTCAAAGCATTTCACAAAGATTTATTAAAAGTATTTTATTACTTTGTAAGGTATTTTCTCTCGCCTTTTCATATGTCTTCAGGGTATAATTGGAACCTAATGACTTTACAAGCTGCACCCGAGGTAGGAAGTGGTGAACGATAATTCGTCACCACCGGGATTTGGCGACTGGATTCCTAATTCTCAGCCACCTTTTAAAAGGGGAGAGTCGAGAGTCTAGAATGAATTTTCTCCCTCATTTCCGCATACCTTCGAAGCGTAATTGAACGCGTATTCGAGAGGTCCAGGTTTCGAGTCCAGGAGATAGCACTGTATATTTTTCACGTCTCCTGCATCAAAAGAAACCTAATGACGCTACAGAGGCTTCGAACTAAAAGTTGGCGGACAATAATTCGTCACCACCAGGTTTGGTTTGGACATTTGGGTTTCTTCATCCCTAGTCACCCTTAAGAAAGGGAGTATACAAGGTATTTTCTTCCTCCTTTTCCCATGCGTTTGTGATGTAATTGGGAGCACAATCGACACGTATTCGAGAGGTTCAAGGTTCGAGTCCTGGCAAGAGCACTGGACATTTTCTACAGCTCCTGCTTCAAAGAAACGCTAATGATTCTATAACGTTTAAAATCGAAAGGAATAAAAGTTAGTTTATATGTTATTATAACGTTTAAGTGGTTATTAATAATTAAATAAAAACTTATTTGCATATATACACAAATTATACATTAATACATACAAAAATGTAAATCATTTATTTAAAAATAATTGCACTAAAGGAAAAAACTTAAGAACTTACATACGAGTGCACTTTAAAATGTATATATAACGCAACATATAGTATAGTTAAAATATTTTAGAAGTAATTTGTAGATAATGTTAAAGAATACCTGTAATTTTGCAAGCAGTGTATTGGGATCTACTGTTCTTCCATTCTTTTCTGCAATTAATTTCATGACCGTAACTGCTTCATCGTATTTTCCTCTAGATATAGACCAGCGGGGAGATTCAGGAATAAACCTAAAGTAAAAAATATACATATTTTAAACAGCCTAATCTAAATTAGATGATCTAGATTTCACGTGAAAATATGAACAATTTTATAGGCCCTTTAATAAGATTAGAATTTAACACAGGAATGTGTTTCCCCCCTTCTTCATTTTAAGTATCACAATTTTTAATTATTCAAATTTTAATTATTTAATTGTAATTTTTAATTATTATAGAGATAGCAACACCCATTTCCGTTCCTCTCCAAAAATCTTCGATTTAAGGGATACATTCAAAATAATATGCCAAACTTAAAATATATTATTTTAGTAACCTGTAGACAAAATATAAATTTCAGTTTTTTTTAATCAATCTGCATTATTTACATACAAATTAGTAACGTATTTAATGAACGTGTAATGTGAAACTTTTTTGGTTTCGCTGCTATTAGCGGTTGCATTTAAATTCACTAGCCCTTTGTTTTGGATGATTTCAACAACTTCTTAGCCAGCTTTTACCGTAACTAAAGCCGAAAGATTTGAAATCTGGGAGTGTTTAGAGTGAATACATTTAATTTAAAGTAAATCCACGAAGCAGGGAATTTCAAGCCCACCTTGATCATTTCCGTCCTCATTAAGTGGAACAGAGTAGATGTTTGTGATTTTCTTTTATCAATCAAGGCCTTCAGATTAAAATTTGTATTCAAAAGCAAATAATCACAACAAAAGAAAAAAAAGTTCTTCAAAGTAGGGTTAGACTAAAATTTGTAAGAATGATGCCATCACTACTGAAGAGAATGGAACATATTTTAACAAATTTTATCACGTTAAAGTGCTTAAAGCTGCTTGCTGCTTTTGCTGATACTATCTTTCAACATATTAATAAGATTGGTTCCACCTAGATTCTCATAGTAGTATAAAGAGTTTCATATGCTTAAGTCTCTTGCCAGCATTTTAAAAGTGAGTACAAGAAAGAATTTCTTCCTGATGACCGCGAAACATCTAGAGTATTAAAGAAGGCAAAGGGCATGGCAAGCACATTTCATGGTTGATCTTAACTATTACGAATAACTTTCTGAATCATTGTTGGTTCAGTGTAACACATTGGACTCATTGGAGAGGCAGATTAAGAAAGACAGAGATTAGATCGCTAGCATTAAAACTCAGACCCAGGCGGTTCAGTGCCAGCCAATACAAGATTTAATGCCAGATACTAGAGCCTTCTAAAGGGGACGAGACAGCCAGAGAAATTCTTTTATTTGACTAAATATCTAACGATCACACAGCCCGAGTCAAAAGTTGACAGGACGCCACGCCTGAAACTGTATTAAATGGTTCTAAGCCTGTAACTGTAGAAAGAATGGCTCTAGTCCTGTAATTGTAGAAAAGATGGTTCTAGTCCTGTGTTGAAGATTAGCTGACTTTAAACCCCTTCGAGCCGGGTAGCGAAAACGCGCGCTTATCGCTGAGGCCGGCAGTGTCTTACGCGAGCGTCTCTCCAGGGCCGGGGGCTTTTTTGCCACTAAGCCTAAATCCATGAAATTTCCGAAGTATCAACGCATTGTTTAATAATGCTCTATAAAGTATTTAAACGGCTTTATAAATATTTTTATATATATACTTTAATTACCTTATTTCTTGTTTAAATGCATATTTTACACATTTTATTTTAATTACCCACCATTTTATGAATTTTAACATTTTACATCTGAAAACTAAATATATTAGTTAAAATTCTCTTTTCGTATGAAAAAATTTGAAAACAGGGATCTACACACAGTCCTACGTTACATTCCTTGCACTCGTAATAACTCATTTGCCGTTTTGGAGGATTTTTCCGGGAATGTGAACAAACGAAGCATCGTCGTCTCATTTTCTTATCAGTCCCTTCTGAACAAAGTTTTGGAAAACGTCTTTCAGTTAATCTTTCAGAATCAATATCAGAATTTCAGAATCAATATCTGAAATATTTTGCATCATTTCTGCTATTTCATGCTCTGTTAAACATTTTCGACGCTTCGACATTGAAACGGTAAAAACAAAGAATTCACGTCTAACAAGATCTAACGTTATTTTCTAAAAACTGAACTGCAAACCGAAATACCCAACGCTTTATAGCAAATAAAACTTCTCTACTTACAGTAAACAACTACCACGTGCGAATAAAGTGCGATTTAAAGAGACGTCATAAATCACGCCATTCGGAAACATTTATTTCCCCGTTTGTTTATGTAATCAAAAACACGTGTATGTGAGTCATGCTTCTCTCATTTCGAGTAGAAGGTCTAATTTACATGTATCTGAAACCATATGGACATACAGTGCCATCTTGTGGCAAAAATTATAGTTTGAAAAACGTTCCAAGGTACTGGCATAAATACGTGACAGTAGGTAGAGAACGCAACAATGCTCTGGCACGCCTGCGTGTCGGCCGGTAGATAAGTGTGTTCGTTGCTGGCACGTATACGTGACAGTTGGCGCGAAGGGGTTACAGGCAGCTAATCTTCAACACTGCCAAATGTATACAAAGTATAAACTTAGCAACTGATTAGCGCGGAAGGTGGAGGTTTTTCGGAATTAGATTTTAAGTGTTCGCTTAAAAAATACGGTCATTACGTGAGCGTATACAGTACCTAATATATTCATATCTACCTTGAATATCTGCTTCAGTCTTTTGTTACCATAAACTACTGTTCTAAGATTACAGTGTTATAAACTACGGTTCCGATGTTATTAGGATTGCAATGATTTGTTTTTTTACAAGATTATATATATGGATATGATTATATCCGTCATATATTGATTATATGACATCATGATCATGCTGCATGATAAGATACGTATACTACATTACACATATTTATCATCATCACACTAATAAACTTCTTTTCTCTGTCTTTCCTTTTAATTTTTAGTATGTATTTGGATTATAATAAATGAAAACCTCTAATCCTAATTGACATTCAACAAGAAATAAAATTATTCTGTATAAATTTACAAATTATAAAGAAAGGAAAGAATGATTATTCTATATACGATTGTCTTTGATTACAATATCCTTAATACAACTGAATTGAAAGAATTCATTGCTTCAAGTTCTGCATTCTAGTGCCTTACCTCCAACACAGCAAAAGGAAAGGAACTGCTGAAGAAACGACGAGACTTAAGTTCACCCAACTTCTTGATAAGTAAGCAACGGCAGGTAGAAGACACATTCCAAATGTCCAACAGCAGTTCTGTACGCCATTTACGAAGGAACGTTTTTCTGGAGACACAATCTCTAAAACTGAATTATAATATATCCTTATGTTAATATCAACAACATTTTTAACATTGCAGTTAATGCATTCAAAATTTTGTATATAATTTTAAGCAAGTTTATGAATACTTAGCGGGCAAATATTCAAAACATACGAAAAATAAAGAAGACATTTACGACAAAAGCAAAGCTATTAAGGATCTCAATTTTTACGATTTACAAAATTATGCGCAATTCATTGATTAATATTAAATAATTTCGCAATTCCATCGATGTAGGTATTTTGGTAAATAAAAACGATGCATATTCTATTTGAGTTAGAAAACAATAGTATCGAATTCGTGAGATTTTCTGTTTAAAACGCCTTTACTTTCGAAATGAAAACTAAATTATTTTTATATGCCATAATCTCTCAGATTTGAGTTGTCTTTTCCGAAAATTGTTTTGTTTTCTTTTTAAAATGTATGTCTCCTTGTTTTATTGATATTGTAAAAGAGCAGAAGCATAAATTCTTTACAAAGTTTTCAGTGCAATTCTTTTTAAAATACAACGAAATCTTACTAGAACGCCGTTTCATAGGACGTAAACAGCTGACTCACAAGGAGGTGTCAGGTAATATTCAGGAGGAAAGGACTTAGGACAATATACTCACAAAATTATGCACCAGTACGGCGATAAAAGTCAGAAAAGAACCTTTAAACTTCATTTATAATGCCATATGTTCTATGTTTAGTTCACTCAACATAGCACCTATGGCAAGTTATTAAATTTAAATGAAAGGTGATATTCTTTTTTAAAATTAATGTACATATTTCATTTATGTACGCAACATAATCCAAAAAATTGAACTAAATGTATTGAGCAATTGCTTGAAACTATCTGTAATCCTTAAAAAACTCTGCAGGTTTCGTTAATTACGTATTAAAAACTTGAATGGTTCTTCAAAAGCATAGGATATTGCCGTTAAAATGTCCTATACAATATCTAATTTGCTAGATGTGTCAGTTTAACGTAGAGTCCCTTCTCATTGGTGTTATGAATTAATTCTCAACTTAACAGCAGTCACTGCCTAATAAACTATTTCCCTGAACAGCAATCACTGACTAATTAACTATTTCCGAAAGATGCTATCCGAAACACGTGATTGAGAAATCAAAGTAACTTGCTAGCGGCCATATGAAGATGAATATGAGCGAGTTTCACCTAGCAGGTCATCTATAAAAGCCTCATTCACCACACGCAAATAGCTCTAGTATGTATGTTGTAAAGTATGGGTGACTAAACTATGACCATTTGAGAGCCGCATTACAAAGAAAAAATATTTGCAGGGCCGCATTGTTTGGAAAAAAATTACGGGGCCTCACATGTAATATTTTTTAACAAATTGAAATAAAAATTAGCCCTATATTGTTTTATTAAAATAAATTCGTTTTATTATTCTTATTTGAATTAGGTATGTATAGTACATATTTATTATTAATTTGTACAAGATACTTTGGATTTCATAAAGATGCAAGCCCACCAGCGGCTGAGCGGTAAAGACGCTGAACACTGGTAGTTCGCTCCAAAGTTAAAATTCCGCGAACGGGCATGGCTGTATAGGCGGTTTCGTGGTTTTCCGCATGTGTAACGGGTATACGAGCCAGTTTCCCTGAGAAAGTCCTCCACAAAAGCACCCTTCCATTAGACAGATAGCCCTCGTGTGCTTTGCCATAATTGAATAATACAATCCAATCCAATCCATAAAGATTCAAAATATTCAAATTCATGCTTTTGTTGAACAAGCAAATCGATATCGGGTTCAATAGAAGAGGTTGCAGCTGTTAATGCATTTTTTAAGATGTTTGTCAGTGACCTTTGCCAGTGTACTTTTCATTTTTGATTCAATTTTTAATGAAGATGCTTTAACTTCTGATGTATTTTTGCCTTTCCTCGAAGTCAGAACGGAATTGATTGAATGAGGAAATACATCTGTAATGAAATTCGGAGAGCAGCAGAAAGCAAAAAATGTGTATAACTTAATAGGCCGCAAAAGGAAGATTCAGAAGTTCAAATCAGATGTTTATATTTATTAAGGAATAAATTTAACTTACCTGTAATCAAGGGTAGCATAAACATGGCTGGGAAGATGCATCCATTTACAGCTCTAAGAGCTGCGAAAACTTTAAAATCTTTCACAAATATAGAAGAAATTTCAGTCACAGCTGCCAAGCAAACAACTCCCGTGAACGCTATTTTTCTTCCGAACCTAAATTTAAAGTTTTAGAGAATATAACATACTTGTGACATTTCATCTATCTGCTTTGCTTATTTAATATTTATTAAGAACTGTTACAAGTTTGAAGTACTTTTCGCCGTTAGCATTTATTTCTTTGAACTTATGTGGCAACACAGCGCTCAGGCAGTTGAGATCGTCTGGGCAGCCACGAATTGAGCTTGTCCCTTTTGTTCTCGATACGAAACTATGTAACTGTAATTGTAAATAATTCTGTATATTAAAGTTTGTGTTGTGAAAATTACAGCTGTACACTAATGTACAGCTGTAATTTAACCGACCATGTTTCGGTATGGTCAACATCGACCCGATGAAGTTCAAAGTGTTTTAAAACAAATATCTGTAAAGCGAAAAGAATAGTGGAAAAAAGAATAGAGAAAATGACTCCCCTCGAACAAGTCCTTAATCGAAAACGGGCCTATATTCAAATCGCAGATAACGAGAATAAAGTCATTCTTACAAGATCAAGTGCCAGTAGATAATACGCGTATTATTCATAAATTTCAAGTAGTGGATAAACTATGTTCTAAGTTAGAGGATTTACGCAACGAATGCTACAGCACATTTTCGGACGTTGACTTGTCAGCCTTTGAAGCAAGCCTTGATGAACTGCAAATTTGCCTCGAAACATGCAAGGTAAGCTTTCAAAAACTTCTCAATCCAAATTCTATTGAAAATGTTAAAAAGTAATCCATCCTCCTGCAACTAATTAGTAAAGTAAAATTACCATCAATCAATCTTCTGGAGTTCTCATGTTTATATACTGAATGGTTATCATTCAAATCACCAGTTTATGACATTAATAGGGTAAAAGTATAGTTTAGGGTACCCCTTGGCGAAACTTGGCGATTTTTGGCGGTATATGGATACCGATTTTGTGCAATGCTTCGACTCGTTATTTTGGCTTACGAAACGGCGATTTTTGACGCAAAAACCGCCGCTACACAAAGCCAAAATAACAAGACAAACAATTGCACAAACTCGGTATCCATGTACACATCGACTTATTTTCACTTAAAGAAAAAACCCCGAATTGCACAAAAATGGCATTGCGCACTCTTTTAACTTTATCCATGTACACGTCGACCTATTTTCACTTAAAAAAAAATCCTAGAATTGCACAACTTGCATTGCGCACTCCCTTTACTTTGTCCATGTACACATCGATATTTTCACTTAAAAAAAAAATCAAAGGAGCATCAAAGTCTACAATATAGGCAAACAAAAAATACATAATCTCAATAAAATACATTTTAAAGCAAACAATAAAATAACATAAAAAAGGAATAAGCACTACCAAAAGCAAATATTCACTTACCATGATTTTCGAGTTCGCTTCGTACACCCAGAGCCACGTAAAAATCAAAATATCAATCATACTCAAATCACTTTTTTCAACCAGGTACTTTTTTTGATCGAACGCTTCACATAGTGACCATCTGAACCTTTCTTCCTACAAACCCATTCAAATCCATCTAAACGGTTTTAACACACACCACAAAATCGCTTATACAAAACATCCCATGATTCAAAATTTCCCAGAATCATGCACCCGATTACGTCACAATAGGGTTTCCATAACATTCAACTACTCAGGCTACCATAAACGAAACAACAACTTGGCGATAAATCAAACAACTTCGCCATAATACAAGGGGTACCTTAAAGTCTACTCTACCCCATTAATTAATAAAAATGATCAGTTGTCAGAACAACAAAAATTATATTATCTTCAATCAACACTCAAGGAGAATGCAAAACAACTAATTACTGTAAATGGAAGCTAAGGAGTAGTGAAATGAAAGTTATGTATGATGTTCTTTTGCTGTTAAAAATTCTTCTTCTTCTTTCATAATAAACTCATTTCTTAAATATTTTATTTGTCAAATGCCAGTTACATTGGCCGTTAGGCCATTAAACTCCTTTCTTGCCAATAGCGATGAAATCTGCAAGAAAAATTTGTCAGTGCTTCACACTCGTTGAAATGTTCCGCCGCCATTGGCCCTCCACTATTACATAAAACCATTTCTTATATATTTTTATATCCTAATGAATATTGTCTACATAATAGAATATAAGAAATTTTGTGTAGCAATAAACTCATTTGTGAAAATGGTAGAATTAAAGAGTTCTACAATGTAAATTTAAATTTAAAAAAAAAAAAAAAATTCTTATTTATATTAATTCGAAAGCTTAAAAATCTTTGAGGGTACTTTTCCGTTTCGCCGGTGCAAATCTCGCCAAGCAGACTTTATTGGCGACAACATACAGTATACACATAAAAAATATTAAAAAAATTTTAGTTCTAAGAATTTTTTTTTTTTTTTTTTTTTTTTTTGAAGGCATAAACATTTTAATATCGCTTAAAACTTTATAAAAAGACAAAAAATAAAGACAATAAATTTGTAAAAAGACATTAATTTAAGAATTTACTATGCCTTCAATTTAAGAATTTACTATGCTTTCATGGTTCAACATCCTAATTCGCCGGTTCATATCACGTGACTCCAAGCGATCTCATCTCATGTAAACTACTCTACAAAACTCTAATGCTCTCAGTAATTATATACATTAATTTAAGTTAAATCTTAATTTGGAACACAAGTTTAAATGCAAGAAATATTTCAATGCGTACGAATAGCTTACTCAGAAAATTATGTAAAACTGCAGTGCGTTACTTCACTAATGCATTTTCATTAAAATTGACGAATTTAACCCTCGACTTTCCTTTTCTATATTTTAGGCTTCGGGTAAGAGCTGTGAATGCATCCTAATTGATTTAATCACCGAAAATGGCCTTAGACATAAAACTGAACTATTTGATAAAAGTTCTATGTAATTATATGTCAGTATTGAAAGAAACAATCAATCTGATAAGAAAAGCTGCGACTTGTTTTGAAAATGAGGCGTAAAAGGTTACCAGCCAGAATATTCCGTTTGACATCGGTTGTACCATTATTGGCGACTTTATCGCTTGCGCCGGCAAAACGGAAAAGTACCTCTTTGAGAATACTCAAGCTATCTGAAACACAAGTATATGCAAGATTTGCAGTTTACCGTTTTAATACATGGTATGGCTGGATTTTCCTACTATGTTAATTTGAAATAAACAGACTATTGTGCTTAATTGTTAGAAATGTGAATTTAAAATAAAGAATTTAGTAGTAATTTACAGTAATAAACACTTATAATTCTAATAAACGCAGATTATTGTTATTTTCAGTAGAAAATAGTAAATAGTGTAAATTCGAGAATACATTGTGACGTCACAAGCTTCATCCATTTACGTCATTTACCTCTGCTTTCGCGATTTTGTTTATGCAGCGTATGAGCTACCAACATTACATATAATAGTTTATTCGTCGCACGGAAAAAAGGTTTTGAGGACGCAGGGTTACTTATTATGAGTCATATTAATGAAATATTTATGCTCTAAAATTCAATGTGAATCCATATTTAATTTAAGACAGATGCTGGTTAAGCTATATTGATGGGTGCCCCTTGGATTATCGGTAAGTTTTATTTTCATTTATCGCCAAGTTGTTGTTTCATTTATAGTGACCAGAGTAGTTGAATGTTATGGAAACCCTATTATAATACGTGATTGGGGATTGCGGTGAATTTGACTGATGGGAAAATATTTGTAAGGGCTTGAAGTACTTCGCGTGTTGTGTGCTTGTGCATCGTAAAATGGCTGCCGGTGATAAAGTGGGTGTTTGGTAGTGTAAAACGAGAGAGCGAAGGTCTTTTTTTAAGTGATTGAGGACAGAAGAAAGAAAACTTTATTGCATGTAATTCAACGGAATTATATGTGTCTTCTTTGTACGAAGGAAACACGTATGGTGGCTATTCTTCCATAAGCGGGGTAAGTTGGCGCCAAACTATATTGGCCTTCAAAATTTGGCGAATTTTGTGGCAGCAATGAGAGCACTGCGATGTGATTTTCAAACTCAAATAGAACACTAACTTTTAAGTTTTGCAGTAATGAAACGCCGTTATTTTATGTAAACAGAATAGTTAAATGAGATGATAAAATACTACATGAGTAAAACAAAGTCCATCAGCTTTGCAACTAAAAATATACTCCTATATATGTAATTCATGATAAAAATAGTCTGTCAACCAAGTAAATACATTCAAATTCACTAGCAACGTATGCATAATAAACTCACTAAAATATGAAGTTACTATCGTCGTGGAATTCAACACACTAAACCAGCGGTCACCAGCCTGTACAGAAATGCCTAGCAAAAATAGCTAGCCGACTGTATGCTACCACCTGGATTTTGCAACAAGGTCCTGTTATTCCCTTTAGGTAGGTAAGAATATAACGAATTTTCTCCTTCCTTACCTCGTGCCTTTCTGTGTTGTGTAGTCATTCGGACGTGAAAATGTGCAATGCTAAGGCTGGGACTGGAACCCTAAACCTCTCAAATACGCGTCGAATATGCTTCCAACTGCACAACGAAGGCATGCGAAAAGAAGGGAGAAAATACCTTATAGTGTAATTGGTAGCATGCCTGGTTATCACTCGGAAGGTCTGGCAAGGGCAGTGTTGTTTTTTTATGCTTACTGCTCCGAATAGCTTAATAGACTTATCTTACGTGCTTAAGGAAGCTGAATGTCACTTGCAGTATCCAGTAACATTAAGTCATATTGCTGCAGTTTCATAAAACGAAATTGTTTTAACAGATAATTATAAATAAAATTTTTTTATAAATGTCTCAAAAAATAAATAAACTATATGAAATAAATTAGCTATATGGATATAAATAGCCATTTGTGTAATTTAATTAAAATAAATGTTTTAACATGGAAATAAAGTTTACTTAGTAAATAAATATAACTACATTCTCACCTGTCGGAAATATATCCACTTACGGGATTTCCGAAAATGCTGCCAACGTTTTGAAGCATAAAAATAAAACTAACATAATGACTGTTGTCGCAAACCATATTCCACTAAATTGAAAAAAAAAAAAACTCTAATTAGCAATATTTAAATTTTGTGTGACATTAAATCATAATAAGCAGAAAAAATTAAAACAATTAAGTTAATCAGGTTACTTTTCGATGTGTATATGACAATAAAGTAAAGTGGAATCTGAAAAAATGATTTTAGTTAATTGGTTAAAGAAATATGTATCTTAGTTTCCTATCTTCTAATAAGGAAAGAAAAATAAAAATAAATAATTCTTATTTAATACATTGCTCAACAGTTGGATAAAACATTTCTCATCCTTCAATAGTATTTTAGGCAAACCTAAATGGGAATTAATTCTTACCTAAATCTAAATCTTAAGCAATGTAATTTACAGAGCTAAATCAAATGCTGAATATCTATCAGATACGTTTGTAGTTAATAAATTAAAATAAATTAGCTAACAAACATAATACAGAAAAGAAATGTATTTTAATTAATCCTTTGTTAATTACATGAAATTAAACTATGTGTTTATTCTTGATAATATTGTTGCGTTTTTCTTCTGACACCAATTGTTACGTTATTTTCTACCTTCACGTTCGTGTGGATTTGGAGTGAATAATGACGACACTTCTTGATGAAGTATCGAAACACACTTTATTTACCAATATTGTCAGGACAGCTCCAAAACACGTTTTTACAGTCGTCGATGAACTGCTATAAACACGCTGACACGATCAGCGACACAGCATCCAGGTTATCAGGCTACCACGGGGGAGACAGCTTCACGGCAAAGCACTAGAGTACAACTTGCTTGGTCATTCTCGGAACTCCACGTACTACTCTCCACGCTACACTCGCTGACGACACACAGAGCACGGCCCGACTCTTCGGTTCAGTCGTCCCGGAGCTCAACACCTCTCTCGACGATGCAACCGCGATACACACGAGAGCACTCGACGAACTCGGCACTCGTTGTCCGGAGTAACTAGATCGACTCCGCAGGGATTGCTCCTAGACGAGACACCAACTCTGACTATCTCGCTAGACAGGCACCACACGAACTGACTGCGAACCAGCAGGATTTATTAGCTCTCAAAGACATCTGGGCGTTCCGTTCTCCATCCTCGTATATCGATTTGTCGCCAAAATTTCTCTTCCACTTTTTTGCTCAAACTGTTTTGCAATTACCGCGACGACACACGACTTACACACATAGAAGCATTTAAGAAATATATCTAAAGTTTGTACGAATACTTACCTGACTAGCCGCTGTGTAGTCGTAGTAAGATTTATCGTACTGCCAGCCGTTTAAACAAAGTCGAGATCTTGAATTATTGACAATATTGAGAGTTTTAGAATCTAGATATTCTGTGTAGTTTATGTCGTGCATAGCACATGATGGGTTGCTTGGTTCTCTGATAAGAGCTTTCTGTTGATGCAGGCTTAAATTAGATGATGTGACCACAGGTACGAAACACCAGTGATCGGGAGTAGATAGTATAAAGTATATATCCATTGAAAACCATGGAATGAGGCATAATGAAGGCACAAGTGTCAAAAATAATAAATGCTTTTGGTATGGTCCATAACCTCCAACCTCTTTTAAGATGTCATCGAATTCCATTTGTTTTAAATCAACTAAAATAAATGAAACGTAAAAAATAGATTGTAAGAACAAATTAACAATTAATGCACAGTTCACAGCACAAAGAGAACCTAAGACAATTTTATAGATATTTCATTTGCATACCTGTTTTCCTAATATTTTATTTGTTATATTATTTGTTTTTTCGTCACTTGTATTTCTTTTATTCCCCTCACCAAAAGTAATCCAAGCTCTCCAGGAAGGAATTAAGGGCCCACCAGCGGCCGAGCGGTAAAGTCGCTGAACACTGGTGGTTCGAACTTATTGCTAACGAATACATATGAATAAATATTTAAAACATTTTATTAATACTTAAATTAATTAATCAATAATTAATTAATTATTAATGATGTGATAAAAATAATAATGATAAAGAATACCTAATGAATACCACAATGATAAAAAATACCTAAATTCCTACAATGATAAAACAATTAAAACACAAGCAACACATTTAAAATGTGTAATTTTTCCACGTTCTGTCCCTTGTTAAAAGCAACCTTGTAAATATGCAAAAGCGAACGAACTGAATTGGATTTTAGTTTACTTAGCGGTGGTTAGCTATCTAACACACACACACACACACACACACACACACACCCTCCCCAAAAGTAAACTGTTTGAAGAAAATATTAGACTTGAGCGATTAAAAAAAAAAAAAAAAATTACAGCACAAACAAAACAGCAATTTAAGTTGTAAGTGCTTTTAGTCTCTTTATAGAAGCAGGCAAAAGCATTAATTATCAAAGGAATTACTGTTTTGAATTACATCTGAATGAATTGCTAAAATGAGCAAAAATTGAATTTTGAAAATAAATAATTACTTTAGAAAAAAAAATTAAATGTTCACTTTTAAAAAGTCAAATTAAAAGTATACAATTATTAATATAATCGCAAAACTTATTTAAATTAATGCATTCATCAAAATATACCTTGGGCGTATGTACTTAGCAATAAAGCTAAAGGAAATTTTTAAATGGGCATGCATCATTCTTTTGGTTGTAGTTAATAAAAATTATTTGGTTGTAGTTAATAAATTCTTTTGGTTGCAGTTAATAATAATAAAAGCAAAAGGCTTACTGTGCAGGTGACTGAAGAAGACAAACTCTGGCTATGTGGTGTACTTCAAATAAACGCTGATAAAATTTTATTCGGAATATAATTTCCATAATATTCCGAATTCATAGCGAAATAGTGTTCAGGTACTAAAAGAACCGGACAAAAATAGTAAGCCTTATCATTGTTTTCCGCGTGGGTCAATTTTTCTTTCCCTTCGTTCTTTTTCCAAGGTTGTCGTATTTATCTTTGCTATTCATCTTTTCAGAAAATGCTGAAAGAGTTCCAGAATATCAATTTTATTGTTAGCTCAGAATGGCTAATAATCTTTAAACACGATTTTTTGCGTTTTTCACTTTTCACCTGAGGCTGTTGCCATTCGAAAACATATAAGATATTTACCTTTCATATTTAATTTTTATGTTCTTCATTAACAAGCTAAGCTATTTAAAAATAAGAAATGCAGTTCTTAAGAATATTTTCTTTTTTACTTTTTAAATTTAATTGATTTAAATAAAAATGCATTTAATTCATAATACAGCCAATTTAAAACATTCAATATTTTTATTGAATTCCTTTATATATTTTTCCATTTTCGAAATATTCAGGAGATATATAATGTTCTTGTGTTAGTCTAAATGAATATTCATTTAATATGGTATAAATTGTTTTGCTGTTCCTCCTGGGCCATCTCCATTGATAACCTCTACTGATAAATTATATTAAACTTTAAATTAAGTGAGCGTTAAAGTCTAAACCTGAATCCTTTCAGATTTTTGTATTTATTGATCCAAAGGAGCGTTAGCCCAGAAGGCCAATTAGTATTTAGAATGGATAGATTACCAGTCTACTTCTCCTTAGAATTTTATAAAGTTGTAGATGATATTTTAAGTTTCTAACAGTAATTTTAATTTTGCAACATGCTTTACGTCTATTTTCGTTTTCCACCTATTATTCCCTACCAAAATATATTTTTTGTATCGCGTTGCATGTAAATGAAATATAAAAAGTATTTAAAGGAAAGTTTCGCTTACTTCAGCAGAAGAACTTAGGACTTCTTAGTGGCGCATGTTTGCCGTCAATCTACTTCGTTGTTTAAAGCTAAGTCTTACTACGCTCGACCGTAATGTACGAGCCTGTTAATATTTGCCGGTTAATTTAATTAAGGGCCAACTATGTTAGATAATTTTATGCAGCTTTGGCTAAATTCAGTTTTTTTTAGCATTAGGATTAGTTTCTTATTTTCTTATCTTGAGTTAAAGCCCAAACGGAGGCTTTTCTGTAAGCCCGAAGAAGGGGCCATCTGTGTCCTTAGTTTGAGATAATAAAGGATGAATTTAACCTTTCTCTTCAGAGGAGCAGTAACCTTGCACTTCTTCGTTGTGCAGTGCATTTCTTCATTTTCATCATCGAAAAATCTGCACTACTTTCATAGGTTAGTGGTTGTACGTAAAAACTGTCTGTGTAATTAAATTTGTAATAATAATATGATACTTATAACATCTAATATATCTTATTTTCTCTTATTTTGTCTAAGATAGGATGGCAATATGATTATAATTGCAACTAAAGGGTGTTCTTTCATGAGAAGGCTCTAATGATATTATAAAATGTATTTAGAACGTAAACAAGTGTGCTTTATGCTCTGACTACGAAAATATTAGATTTAAAATAAAAAATCTTATGCACTGCATCTGGATTTCACACATAGCAATTACAGTTATCTAGATTACATTTCTTCCAGGATAAGTAAAATTTTAAACCTTTAATCCTTGTTGCGGTAGATTTAGCTGAATTATTCGCAAACCGAAAAACCCATGCGATGATTCAGCCCACCACCGGCCGAGCGGTAACGTCGCTGAACACTGGCAGTTCGGTCAGCGGTTCGAATCCCGCGAAAGGGCTGGCTGCATGGGTGTTTTCGTGGTTTTCCCCACGTGTAACGTGTATACGAGCCAGTTTCCCTTAAAAAGTCCTCCACGAAGGCATCCCTCCCTTAAGGCAGGTAGCCCTCGAGCGCTTTGCCGCAATCTAATAAACCAAACCAAACCAAAACCATGCGGTGATTCGTTTAAGTTTCAAGAATGATAAAACTTCATTAAGGACTGGAATTTGCGAAGCGACTGTTCCAATTGAACACGAAACATTTAACAATAATTTACGTTAATTTTTTTTTTCGTACCATTAATTTTCATTTGGTAATGCATAACAGAAATTAATTTTATTATTTAATTTTTCAAATTAGAAATCTATGTCCTATAGTCTAACACAATAATAAATTTGAAATTAATCAAACACTATAATATATTACACTGACGTCATTACTGAGAAATGATTTATCAAAATTAAAAGTAAATTTTAGAGAATTAATGAATCCTTACCATTCCATAATATTTCTTTCTAGACTTTTTATAAAAACGCGGAAAAATTTAAATACAAAAGTAGTCGTTCATTCTATTTCGAAGCTCCTACGTATTAAACCGAGTGAAAGGAAAGTCACCTGCCTTATAAACCAATACTACATTGTTTTGAGTCTGGAAGTAGCTTTAGTTTGAGTACGAGAATATTTTAAATACGAAGGTAACAGTAGTACGGTCTGTCATTTTTTATTCTAATGCAGAGTATGTATGCTTTAAATTAAAAAATAATGCTTGAAATGGATAAAATTATTTAAAATGTTCAGTGCATGAATCATTCATCACTCATCAGACTTCCTAGATTCACAAACTTTTTTTTTTTTTTTGCTGTATTATACAATTCTATGCTCTACACTTATTGCTCTCGGGTACATAAAATTTAGGAGACATTAAAACCTCTATAGCAATTTCCATTGGTGTTGAAATGGAATTAAAGGAAACTTTTCGATAAATCTTACAGGCATTTTTGAAGTTCAGAAAGGAAATATTTTATGTCATGGGAAATTATGTACATCGATATTTCCAGTACTAAAATTAATAAATGCGTCAACAACGCATTTTGAATAACCATAGACCTATTGTAAAACGGTATTTAGTACAATGACTGTTCAGATTATAGTAAATCACATCTGTTACATAATAGTGCATCGTATAAGGCTCCCTGATTCATATTTACTTAAAATTTGAATAAAACATTTCAGTATGCCCTTTCTTATAATTTTATTTATTTTGCTTCTGTGAAAAAACTTATGCAAACAAAAGATGCATCCAATGAGAAATATTAAATGTATAATCAAATTAATAAAAATATTAAATTAAAAAACTTGTGTTAGTACTTTAGCTTCTTTTAAGTTATCATAGCTCATGAAAAAAGAACTCAATGTTTTAGAAGGACATGTAAGTCTCACTGAATTCGCTTTTCTTGCATATTTACTGAGGAATTAAATCATTACGCAGCCTTCTCCCTCCAAAACTAATTTACTTGCTGAGTTGAACGTGTAAAAAACAGCATGGGAGGCCGTTTCTTATATTTCTTCTAAATGACCGCTTCGTTTATATGCGTAGCACTAGTTCCTAAGAATTTTAATGCTTTTTAATTTTATCTTATTGATTAATTGCTCTTTTTGCCCATTTTATATGTTATTTCGTTGCCTTAAAGAATGAATGTTTAGAGAAACTTTGAAAACATTAGATGAAACTAATTAGTAATGTATTAATTATTTATTTCTGAGCCTTATCCCTGAGTACAACGTACATTAGTTAAAATTTTATGAAAAATTATAGATGATATGAAAAATAACAAACATAATTCAATACAAATTCAGAAGTCAAACAACAAAAATCAGCGTTATATTTTCAAAATTTTCACAGGACTAGTTTCGATGGTTTTACCGAACCACCATCCTCAGCTGCAAAACCACAAATGAACAAGATAGGAAATAATGATTAGATAAGATAAGAAAGTCTGGACAAGAATAAGCAAGTGGCGCCATCTGTTGATGAAACCAGAACTAAAACAAAATTTCTTTAAAGGCCGAAGCCAAAGATGGATTGCAATTAGGATCGTTAACAAGAACAGAAAGATTTTTTTGAATGTGAAATGCCTCTAGAGAATCCAGTTCTCCAATGGAAGATGTTTTTTGAATAATCTTGGCAGCAGAAGATAAATTGAAAGTGGGATTTTCGGACCAACAATGTTGAGCAACAGAAGACTTCTGTGTTTCCTTTTTTCTAACATATGCCTCATCTTCCTTGACGCGAAATTTTAAGGC